CACTCCTACTTATATCTGCTCGTAATTGCTCATTAATCACACACCAAGCCAACCTGGAGGCACCTGAAAAATTCCACTTAAGCTCTGTAAATGATCAAGGGTCAAAAGGAAGAGTTTATTCCATATATCCAACCTAATTTTCCCTTCTTTCAGTTCGAAAGGTCTTCGTTGTGTTGCTCAAATTCAGACTAATCCAGGCTTTAATGCTCTGAGAGGTTCAGGGAAACACATTCCCACTGAATGTCCCACAACCTGTCTTTGGGGCTGGATGAGTTTTAATCCCCTCCTTTATAACCTGCAAGGGCATAAACAGTACCTGAAAAGTTCCATGATTTCTCACACAGTTTCTAGGACTCTTGTTAAGGCTTCCCAGGATTTATTCTCCCCACTCTCCACCCCGTGTGGTTTGTGCTTTGGGCTCCATCAGCGAGGAGTTGTGAAATTATGAAATTACGGGCTTATTCGTTATCAAACTGTGATTTGGAATAAACTTCCCAAACCAGTTAAAAGTGCAAAGGGCAGAACAGAAACCAACCAAACTGCAGCTGATGAATTGAGCCCCTATTTACCAACCAGAGAGACGAATCCAGGTGGAACCAAAAGGTGCCAGCAAGTGAATACCTCCTTTACAACTGATTCCTCCTGCCTGAGGCAGAGCCATCCCAGCACTCCTAAACAAAGAGAAAGGAGGGCAAACCACCCTTCAAACCAACGTGCAGCTCCCTCTGCACACAAGAGCTTTAAATCTTCTCCATCAAGCAGCAATCCCAGTGGTGATAAATCCCAGGAGAGACACACACTTGGAACTGGCTCCCTCAGTGAGGAGTTACAAAGCACGAGGGACCATCGGGGATATTTTTTTTGGCTTCAGCTCTGAGGGCACAAAGATGGATTTCACTTGGCTAAGCTGCAGAAAGCAATTAAGGACCAGGCTGCCTTCCCCTGCTAGTGGAGGAGAAAAGTTTCTTGCTGGAGCCAAATAACTTTAACAAATCAAATAATTTGCCAGTGAAGATCTTCGAGCTTCTCATTAGGGAACCAGAAGGGCAGCAGCGACTGCACTGGGAGAGGCAGGGCAGCAAATGTAATTCCTCTCTGGTGGGGAAAAGAAAAAAAATGCTTGGGGATTATAGGAAATTGCAGTAATAAGGAAATTAAGTGTCACAATAATTGAAAATAAAGAGAGGACTGCAGTGGCAGAGCTCCAGCTCGTGTCGTGTCCCCAAAAAGCCATTTCCAACGTGGCCATCAGGACTCCCAGAAAAGCTGTTGCTGGAGAGCATCCTGGTCACCTTTCCCCCCAGACTTGGGTGGGAGCAAGATTTCCCCTCGGGATTGATCCCGTGGCCTTCCCTTCCCGAACTCCAGCCTCTCCTGAGGCAGATGGGGCTGAAACCCACCCCACAGCCTCGGAGCAGGGAGTGCCAACACGAGCTGGCAGCCCCTGGAAGGCTCCCACGAGCCTTCACCCAACGCCCACTGTCACTGCAGCACAAACGGGAGCTGCCGGCGTGGGAGACTCTGGGGCAGCGTTCCAGCCAGGCAGGGGAAACAAACACCAAAACAAGAGAGCAGCAGCATTTTAACAGCTTGCCTGGGAGAGTAAATATTGACTGGTTAGCTGGAAAAAGCCAGCTCATCCTCCTCCTGGGCGAGGGCACGGAGGAGGAACCCTCCCAAGGCTCCACGGGCTCACAGGACACTGCAGGGAAGTCCCACGGCAAATATTTCGGGAAGGTGGTGCTGGGTGAGTGATCTGCACAACGGGCAAAGGGGTCCCAGAGCCCTGCAGGCTCCTGGGAGTAAGCTAAAAACACCCAAGGAATTCCTGGGATAAAAAAACCACCCGGGGAATTCCTGCGACGCCCGGGCCGAGCAGGGTTGGGTCCTCCCCACGCCGAGCCAGAACAGATCACCAGGAACTGCAAGCAAGGATTGCACCTCATCCTTCACAGTGATCCCCATCTCCAGGCCTGTCATTGCTGGGAAAGGCAAGCACAGCCTTGGATTCCACACCAAGCTCCCACATGAGGACAACTACTCATCTGGGACTGCCAGGGAGATCATGTGTTTGTTAGCAAAGCCTGCAAGACACAGGCCAGGGAGCCCTGATGGAGAGGAAGCAATTAATCATTAGTTTTCCGTGCAGGCATGGATGATCTGTCAATAATTTCTCTCTGGGGAAAGCGAGATCCAGAAATAACAATCCCGATTAGGCAGGAGAGGTTTAGCGATGGGAAGGGACTTGCTGGGGCAGAAGGTTGAGAGCACAGTTCTCACTGACCTTGACCCACTGAGGCCAGAGATGCTTTCCTGTGATGCACCAGGACACCTGAGGGACGGGTGGGATGCCCTCACACACAGTTTATCTGTATTACAGCCTGAGACAGCCTCACAGGCAGGACCAGCACAGCGAAAGGACTTCAGGGAAGCTACTGAAATAAGGAGGAACAGCTCCTGGGAAGCATCACGGGAGCACAGTTTTAGTCCTGAAACCCAAGGTCTCGCCTGCAGCAAAAGCCTCAGTTCCTCCCTCCATCCCCAGGGCTCTCATCCCTGAGGACCCCATCTCCTCCCAGTTCTCCTGGAGCACGATGCCCTCTCCCGGGAGCCCGAGGAAGCAGCTGGAGAAGCGTTTCCCAGCTGGAGTGAGGTTATCCTGGGCTAATTCCCACCAGGGACCCGGTGCCCTGGGGCTGGAAGGGAGGAACAGGGGCTTAAAACCGCTGTCCTCACCTCCACCACTGAGCATCAGCCTGCAGAGGATGTTGGGCAGGGAGCAAGAGAAGCTGAAGGATCCCAAAAATGCTTGGAAGCTGAGAGGAAATGAACACGTTTTCTGCAGGGCAAGTCCTCCAAATCTCTCCCTCAGATGCCCCCCAGCCAACGTCATTTCTTCACACAAGCACAAGCTCTGCCTCCCCAGGGTTCCCCCTCCTGTCCTCTCACATCTCCTCCACGGTCTCTGTGTCTCCTGCCACCCTCATTGTGGCTCAAAAGCTGAAAACACCTCTTCCTAATGCCACATCCACGCTGCCTTTCACCCCTGCCACTCCTTGGAACTCACCAGCAAGGCCTGAGGCAGGGATTTACAGCCCTGCATCACTCTCCTTCTTCATGGGGAGCTCTTACTTTCTGCTTGGTACCCAGGGGAGCTGGCTCAGGCCACGTTTCTAGCCTGTCACCTGGAGAAAGGATGAGAAACCAGCCCTCCCTGCACCCCTGACAGCAACACCTATTAGAAGAGAGATGAACATTCCTTTAATCATTAAAAAGCCACCTCATCCATCCCTCCTCCAAGCCTACAGCATGTCCTGGCCATTCAGTCCCTGCCCCAGTTTTACACAGAGAACGACACAGGGTGTCTGAGCAGCTCTGGGGTTTTTTTTGTCCAGCAGGGCATGACCCAGCAAGGGCAGGGATGAAGAAGAACCCTGGGTTCTGACAAAAAGCTGAGCCCAATGCCCTGGAGCAGCTCCTGAGTGCACAAAACAGCAAAGCAGCCCTGCAAGCACCCCACAGCCCCAGCACTGCTGCAAACACCTGAGCAGGTGGAAACGGCAGGGGATCCATGCTGGGTGGATTTGGGATGGGGAGGAGGCTGCTTGATGCTGGAAAGGGTGTCCCATTCCCACAGCCAGAGCCTGGGAGGCTGGAGGAGAGAGGGAGGATGAGCTCAGGTGGGAAGAAGCAACGACAGCAGGGGCAGGCAGATTCTGGAGGAGCAGAGATCCCTTTTCCTCGCCAGCTTCCCTAGTGAAGAGCCAGGGAGAAAATAATGGATATTTATAAGCAAACCTGTCTCTAAGGCAGCAGTTTCCAAAGTCTAATAATAGGGTTTGGGCTTGTTTATCGTGTGATTCAGCCAGCATTGCATAAAGCTGCTGGAAGGCTCCTGCCTGTCCCGGGAGCTCATCCCCCAGAACTGGGAAGGTAAAGAAGCCAAGGATTGTCAGGGATGTGGGAAGGCACCTGTCCCCAAAACCCACCCCAAGTCTGCAGATTGCCACCACCGTGCCTCCACCAGTGGTGTCAAACCAGACCTGGCAGTGTGGGCAACTGCTCGTGAATGCACCACAAACCCCACGTCCAGTGGGCCTGGATTTGTTTCCTGCTGACTCAGACAACGTGTTGAAAGTGCAGCTTCCCCAGCCAAGCCAGAGGGGAGGATTGAAAACAGGAAAGGTCAAAACAGGGAGAGAACAGGGCTGGGCAGCACCTGGACAGCATGTTCTGAGGCAGAAGGATTGCAGGGCTCAGCTCCCCACCCTGCTCTTCACTGGCAGCCTTTCCATTTCCACCCAGGGCACAACAAGCACCCCCGAGAATTCCCCTCTGCTCATCCAGGCAGGGCAAGGGCTGCAGCAATGCCACACAGGCTGCTGGGCACCAGAGCAGGCCAGGGCAGCCTGGGCTGGGGGGAGACACACAGAAACTTGAGCCTTTCTGGAAAAATGGCTTTGTTTGGGATGCAGCCCAGCTTTGTTTGGGATGCAGCTCCAGCGTTTGGCACAATCCTCCTCACATCCATTACCTGCACCCAGAAAAACAAGGATTTGCATTCAGGACTACCTAAGGCATTGCTGGCAGTGCTGGCAGTGTGCTCCTCAGGGTGTGATGCTCCCACTCCACAAGCCCCTTTATTTCCCGAAAATCTCCTTGTTATCCATGGCTTTGTTGCTCCATCTCAGCACTGCACAGGCTGCAACAGCCCTGACTTGAGGATGGTGGGGAAACGAGGGCAGCCTGAGCAATTCCTGCCACAAACCTCACCTGGGGCTCGGGCCTTCAGGTGGAAACACCACTGGCAGCCACTCCACCTCCTCATTCCCAGCGGTCTCAGCTGGGACTGATGGATTGCCCGTTTACTCCCAGGAACCAAACACTGCCTGCATCCCTCTGGAAAACACTGAAAACTCCTGATTACTGTCAGGTTCTCAGTTCCCCACCACCCCTCCAAAACAGGAGTCCAACTGGAAAGGAAGGTGCAGCAGCCAGAGTCATTTGAAATGGATATTTACTGCACTGTCTTTTCACATTGAACATGTGGTTATGGGCCATGACAACATGGAACAGTTCACACAAACAGCACCAGGGAGAGGTGCAACCAGTCCTTCAGCTGCACTCCTTTCTTTATTTGATTTAAGGTCAGGGATTTGTTCCTTCATTTGATTTAAGGTCAGGGATCAGCAAGGGAAGAGGCAACGAGCAGGGCAAGAGTCCTGGGTTTGATTTCCTGGCACTGCAGAGCCCTGTGTGAACTCCTCTGAGGGGCAGAGCTGGCTGGGGATGCTCCTCAGGGCAGTGCAGGGCATTCAGAGCCTCTCCCTGTGCTTCTGAAGTTGCTGTGATGGTTGAGCCCAGGCCCTGCTCCTCCTCCAGCTCCTCCTCCTTGGTCCCAGCAGTGTCATGTTGGATCACAGCCTGTCCTTCCCACCCTGCTCATGAGACTTGTCCAGCCCTGAATTTTGCACCTGGAATCAACAACTGTGTCCTCAGAGGCTCCTGCTTTTCTCTCTGCATCCCAACAGCTCCCCCAAAAAATCTGCTAGATCTGCTCCCTGATGCCCCTGCTCTGGCACTGCACACCCCCCCAGTCTAACAGCAAAGTGGGGCACAGAGCTTGGGCAGAACTCCCTCTCGTGCCATCCCACCCCCAAAAACTCCAGGGATGTGAGTGAAAACCACCCCCTTCATCCAGCCTGTGACACTGCACGTTTGAAAATGGAGATGTAACAAGCACAACACTGCTCTGAAGCACATTGGACCCATGTAACACACACTGTCTATTCTGGGAAACCGAACTGCAAAAAAAAAGAAAATATATATATATATAAATTAATCCTTCTCCTCTCTGGAGGATTCCAGAATTTTTAAGATGCTGCAGTCTAGAATTCAAAGGATGTCACAGGTATCTTGGAAAAATTATTATAAATAGCAAACAAACACTTGGTTTCACAGATAACACAAACACTCTGATCCCATTAAATAGGTAATTGTCTCAGTTCCTAAGTTTGGAGGGTTTTTTTTCTCCCAAAAGTACAGGTTTATCCTTGAAAGTGTCTCCTGGACAGAGCAACTTCAGCTGCTTCTCTGTGGTGCACAAGACTTCATTCCTTGAGACTCAGTGCATCTCAGTTCACTGTCAGGCAGGTTTTTCCTCTTCTCCACCACTTTTTTTTTTTTTTCTTTTTTAAGAAAAAGGAAAATTCCTAAACATTGTTACCTGAAAAACCTCCCTAGGTGAATGAAAGCACTACTGGAGCAGAGGAGGGACAGTGGAGGGGTGGGCAGGAGAGAGAAAGGAAGAAGCTGAGGTTTTCCCAGTGCCAGACTGCAACCTGGAGCAGAGCCTCGTCCTGTCATTCCTTTTTATTTTCCATTTTTCTCTTTTCCAGTGCAACCCAGGGAGCAGCAGGGATAACAAACCCACAGGTGGCTGCTGGATTTTCCAATGGCTTCTCCCCAACACGCTGTGTGTGGGCAGAGCAGAGCTGGGCTGGGTTGCCCAGGTGTGTGTTTTAGCCTCCCATCTTTTTCCTGCTCTGCCTGGACCTCCTGGATTTCAGGATGGTGTAGTTTGCATACCACGTGTACTGCTCTGAGAGGAGGGGGATGTAGAATGCTCGCAGCAGCCTCGAGGACCTGGAGAAAAGAAAGGAGAAAATCAGCCTGAAATGCCCAGTTTTCCCCTTGGTGGCAGGATCAAAGCTGGGTTGTGCCTTGGGGCTGTGCCCACTGCCCTGGGGAGCCTGTTCAGTGCCAACCACCCTCTGGGGGAAGGACCTTTCCCTGAGATCCACCCTGACCCTCCCCTGCCACAACAAGGCATCTCCTCCTTTCCCCCAAATGTCTGAGGAGCAGAAGCTTTGCTGGGCACTGGCATTTTGGAGTTCTGCTCTTGTGCTGAGGGTATTGAATTAAGGAGGGCTGGAGTGCTCCAAGGCCCAGGGTGCTGCAGGCTGCCAGCTCCCACTCCATGCCCTGCCAGTTCCAGCAATTCCAACACTTCCAACAATTGGCCCAGTGGAGCACTGGAGCATGGAGGGCTTAATGGCTGCATGAAATCAGAACCTTTTTATTTGGCTGCTAATTGCTGGAGCTGTGCTGGCTGGGCACATTCTGAGGGTGTGTATTCTGGGTAACCCAAGAGTAAAACCCAGGTTTAAATGTGCAGTGGACAAAGGTAACGGCCCTGAGCCTTGCAAAGCTTCAAAAATTCCATCAGCTTGCTGAAAGCAGGGCTGGGGCAGAGTTTTGCTCCCTCAGCACTGCATCTTATCTCTTCATGCCTTTCAGATCAGCTTGCTGGAGGAACTGAGATTTGAGCTGCTGGGTGGTCAGGGATGGCACAGAGACCCAGGGCACTGCAAATCCACACAGCTCTGCTGCTGGCACAGCCAAGGTTCTGGACACACAGGTCAAGCCACCTTTTTTTTTTCAGGAGAGAGATGAACTGTGTTTTGTTGTAAGGCAGCACTGGACACCTTTCAAAAATGCAAGCCAAAGAACAATGGCAGGAACTGCCACTGTGAGCTGCATCTCCCTGGAGGCTCCCAGGCTTCTTAGACAGCCCTGCTGTGATTCAGCTCCTGGATCTCCTGCACCTTTGGATCGAAAGACCATCCAGGAAAAGCCTGGTGGTACCTGCCTGCATTGGCAGAGCTCTGATGGAATGTCAAGGGCCAAGAGTTTTCCAACAAGTTGATCCTAAAGCCTTCTCAGCAGCAGGGTCCTGGTCCACAATAAGGCAGAGCAGCAGCTCGCTGACTGCTGGAGCAGCAGCACTAAGTGTTTATCCTGGCTCTGCTTCCTCCTCTTTGCTGCTTTTGAGGAAAAACACTCCCTATATCTTTTATTTGCTGGTGTTTTGAAATCCAGGCCCAGTGCTGCCCACGTGGCTGGGCTCACGTGGTCCTCATGGCACGTGTTCAGAATGTGCAGGGTTCAGCTCTGCTTTCCAGAACAAAAAGGATATTCCACCAGCTGCAGTGGCAGAAATCACCTCCTGGATCAGTGTCACCATCCTGAGTGTGCCTGAAACAACCACTCTGAGCAACAAAAGCTCTCCACAAGCTCTTAACTTTGCTGGCAACTCAACCCCTCATGGCAGTGGTTTAAATGCCAGTGCTCAGGGTTTCACAGGTTGTGTCAGCAGTGAAATAGGGGGGGAGAAAACACTGCTGGTAACAAAGATTTAAAAAAAAAAAAAGGAGAGGCAGGAATGACTGATGGAAAATGGGGTGGGAAATGAGGAGAAGGGCAGAGCAGAAAGGAAGAACTGTGCTCTGCCCACCAGTGGATGTCACACTCCGTGCCAAGGCACTCATGACAAATAACAGTGCAGTGAAGTGGGGTATAAAGGCCACAGCTGATCATTCCTGTGCTCCTGCCCCCAAAACAAGCCAAGAACAGAGAGCTATAAACCTCCTTTAGCCACAGGAGACCCCAAAAGTGGAGTTGAAGGTGAAATGATGGATTAATCCAACTGTGTGCAGGGAGTCCTTGGTTCCCACCAGGTTAGTTGGTGCCACAGCAAAAGAACTCCTGACTAAAGACACTTATGAACAGCTGGCATGAGTTCAAACCACCCAGTCTAAGGACACAGGTTAAAAAAAAAACACAATAGAAAATAAAAGAGGCACCTTGTGTGCTCTGAGAATCACATCTCCCAGAAAGCCCATGGAAGCCTGGATATATGGTAAATGGTGGCACCAGCAGATCTGCTCCACAGCTGTAATTAGGTCAGGCTTTGTCCAGCAGCAACTTTCTCACTGAAAAAGAGACTCAAGCCTGGACACGAGCACGAGGCTGCTCTCCCTGCTGCTGGAACTGCACAGAGCAGGGCCCTGCTCTGGGTCCTCAGGGCTGCTGATGCTCCCAGAGCTCAGGGAGTCATGACAGAGCTCTCAGCTCAGACAGGGAACCTTTACCTCCTGTCACCTCCCCTCGTCAGGCTCAGCAACCTCAGACAGCAGATGGCACATGGAAGGGGCTGGGATGACAGATGACAGGGAATATATAGAATGTTCTATTTGCATTTGCTTCTAAATTTGTCCCCCAGAGACTGGGAGTGCGTGGAGCCTTCACCAGCACACAGCTCCCAAGCAGCGCTCCATGGGTCTGAGTGTCCAGTTTTTGGGATTCTGAAGGGAAATGGCAGGAGGAGGCTGAACCTCTGCCACAGGGGCAGGACCCAGCGCCTTCCAGCCAGGAAGCTCATGATCAAAGCTCTCTGCAAACCCATTAAAGGTCTGCACGCCCTCCAAGGTGTCACACTTGGTACCAACCTGCACCTCAGAGGTAATTCCAAACATTCCTTACTGCTCCTTGTAAAACAGAAGCAGGGAAAGAAAACAACTCAAGTAACACAGGGGGAATGAGACAGTCTCTTGTCACACCAAGATGCTCCAACAAGGTGACCCAATCATTCACTTCGCACCGAGAATTTTTTTTTTTAAATTTTTTTTTTTTGAGGGAAAATCCAAGTGTTTGGAGCAAGCAGACGGCTCAGCCTAAAGAGCTGGAGAAATATGTGCTCCTCAGTGGGGAGCTGTGATATATTTCCCCTTTCCTGTGCCAGATTCAGAGTGCTCAGCCAATATAGAATTAAATGGACCTTGGCAAAGCAGCTTCCTGAGGAGCATAATTAGCTGGTGGCTTGGAGTGCTCTCTAATTCAATTAGCAGCACCATTTATCAGAGCCAGCTGAGATTTACATTTGCACTTGCTGACGTCAATGGGAGGCTCACAGCGAGTCCCAGAAGCCTCCAGTTCAGCAGGAGTGAACTGAGCTGTTGGGGTCATTTATTTTCAAAGAACAAGAGCTGGAGTTTGGGTTTGGGTGGGGAGGTGCCTGATGGTTTGGTTGTGTTTTTTTTTTCGCTCTGCAAACCTGAAATCTCCACTGGCAGCTCCCCTCACAGCCCAGCTCAAAGTCACACTTCTGTTCCCCCTCAGGTTTTGTTAAGGAAAAACAAAGCTGCATTTTTCATAGTGGTTTTACACTTATTTCATAGGTAGCAAGAGACATTTCCAAACCACGGTGTGGAAGCAGGTGCTGGCTTTGAGGGACATGCTCAGAAATAAATGTGAGCACTCTGGGGCATGAAAAGACTTCGTGATGCAGCTTCACTGCCTCTACAACCTGTGTGTCTGACCCTGGGAAGGTCTCCCCAGAGATCTACCAGCTCTGGGATCCTTCTAGCTCCCTCAAGACAAACTGTGGAGTTACACCTGGTTCTCTCACCCCTCAGAGTCAGTGATACCCCCTGGGTAAGCCCAGACCCTCCAGTCCTTCCCAGCCCTGTGCCCTGGAGCTGCCCCCCTGCCCAGGTCTGTGACGGGGCACAGCTCAGTCTGGAGCTGCAGGAGGTGGGAACGGCAGGGATGGAAATCAGCCCTGCTGCCATGGCAACCTCCCCTCTGCTCCAGCTCTGCTGCCTCGATAAGGAACAGCACCAGGAATTCCAGGAGTGGGAGCAGGGCAGGCTGACAGGTGACACCAGCAGGGCTGAGGACGGGGCTGCCCGGTCTCCTCATCTCCTCCTGGGACTTGCTCTGCAAACCCTCTCCTGTCCCAGCCTCCCACAGATGCAACAGCAGCTTTTGCCAAGGGGGACAGAGCAGCCAGAACGATCCCCTTCAGCTTCAGATGAGCTGTGACTGCTCAGCCAGGCAGCTGCTCCCCTTTCCCATCTCACCATTACTGGGCTCAGAGCTCCGAACTTCCAGGATCTCCCTGACATTCCCAGCTCCCCACAACAAGCTGCTGCCCCGTGGTGAGATGATGCCTTTGCTACAACAAGCCAAGGCGCTGCTTCCAGTAGCAGCAGCCACGTGCAGCCTCCCTCCCCGAGCCAGCCACGAAGGGCCACACACACAGCTGAGTGGGCTCCTGGAGTCTGGCTGCAGCTTCCAGGGATCCTCAGCCAGCAGGGAACTCACTGCTTGGGGATCTAGCTGGAGTTTGGATGATCTAAATGCAACACACAGTATCATGTGTCAGATCAGAATGACTGCGCAGGTTCTCAGTGCCAAGGCACTGGAATAAGTTTCCAGAGCCTCCTGTCTGGCAGGAAGAGCTCTGACAGCGTTTCCCCTGGAAGAACAGAGCTCCACCACCACGTCTACCTGTGTGTCCAGCCAAATTCCTGAGGGCCAGCCAGCCAGGGATGCCTGGCAGGATGCAGGGGTTTTAGCTGGGAATAGGGAAATGCCCCTGTTAAGAAGCAAGGGGGGAAAAAAGAAGGGAGGAAAATGTCAGTGGCTACATGGAAACAGCACTAAAGCTGGGAAGAGAGTGGCAAGGACTCAGCTCAGCACTGAGCCTCTCAGGGGATCTGAAATGGGTTCAGGAGAGAGAGAGTGGTTTGTGGTATGTCCCACATGAGCTTTAATCAAAAATTCAGAGGCTATGGGTGGGGGCTGGAAGTGCAATAACCCAAAAAGCCCATGAGACAGACCAATTCCCTCTCTACCAAACATCAGCTAAAGCACAGGAAAAATGAGGAATTCTGTGTTGAAAGAAGCCACAGGGAATCCAGGACATCCTGGAGAAGTCTGTGAGACAGCCAGTCATACCAGAATAATTCACCTGGCTTTCATTAGGCAGGTAGAACCTCTGCAGCAGAGCCACCTCCAAAGCACCCCCAGCAAAATGACATCCCCAGGGTTAACCCAAGGGGTCTTAAGGGCTCATCTGGACCTGACTGACCTCAAAGGACTTTAGATCAGGTCCAACCAATCAAAGCTTGGCTGTTCAGTGGAGAACAGCAAGATAAACCAGCTCTAAAAACACATCAGTGTGCCTTCCACTTCGTTCTCCCTTCCTGAAGTCCTGCCCAAATGTAACAGCAGGACCCTTGGAAAACACAGTTCAGGAAAGGCCTTGCCAAGGAAACCTGTTTGTGTCAGCAAGCTGGGAACATTGGAGCTCTCCTGGGAGCTGCTGTATCATCATCACTCTTTCTGCTCAGCTGCCTTTACCAGCCCCACTCCCTGGAGGGTAAAAGGAGAGCAAACCCAGCCTCTGCTTCTCCCAGAAACTGCTGCTCAGACACACAGGCAAGTTGTTCAGTGAGCAGCAGAACTACTGAAGGGCAGATTCCAACAGGGATCTCTGGCAGGGATTTTCTGATGCCTAAGAAAGGTGTGACCTTGCTGGCTGCCTCCTCTCTCTGTCTGCCAGCTTTCATGAAGCCTGTGAGAGCTCCTGCCCTCTGAGACTGACTTATACCTGCCTCGAGTTTGGCTGAAACAAAGCAGCAGATTCAAAGGTCTGCTGGGAGGAGACGACATCCACTTCACTTCTTTGGGAAGCAAACCAAAAAACACTCCTTCAGCAAGGAGTGCACTGGGAGGATTCTTTTTAAAAACAATCCTTCTCACCACCCTCCTCAGCTGGTTCCTCCCTCTGAAGCAACTTAGGTCATAAATATTGCAGGCACAAGTTTGACAAAGCTTCCACTGTGGCCAGCAAGCTGGAAACTGGACTTCAAGCTGGCATTTGTCAACCTCTCTCCTCCCTGTACACAGCCCCTCCTGCAAGCAGATGTGCCAGCCCTGCCAGCCCTCATCCCCAGCTGGGCACAGCATACCTGGAAGCATCAAGGAATGGCTTGTAGGCAATGGTCACCCACTCTTCTTTGTTGGAGGAGTACCTTGGCTCCCTTGGGGTCTCAGCTGCTGTGTCCAAGTCCACCAGGTAGTGGCACTTGGAAATGTCAATCTGCAGAAAGAAAGACGTCCTTGTGCTTTATTTCCTGCGGGTTTCTGGCTCGCTGTGTTTATTTACACAGGCTGTTCCTTAGCAATGGGAAGAGGGTTAAACTTGCAGCAGCAGGGGAAATGCTTCCTGCAGGACACATGGTAACCTGTTCTGAATGTTTTCAAGCAAAACCTTTATGGGGGAGCACAAGCTGCACCCTCAGGTCCCTCTCGTGGCAAGTCCTGTATTCTCCCACAGAATTTTACTGCAAACTTCCTTGGCCATGCCTGAAATCACTCTCCTGAAGCACCTTTGGGGTTTAATGTAACGATTTAGGCTGAAAACAATTTAATTAGGTGGATACCAGATGGCTCTGTGGCATCACAGCTCAGTGGCAAATGAAATTACAGCATGGGAAACTCGGCTGAGGAGAATGTTGAATCCGCTCCTTGCACTGTGTGAGGAGAACATTCCAGGCCCTGGGAGAGGTTCTGGCTCATTAGCAGAAAGACTCCCAAAGCACTAACCAAGTTTTCCTGTAAGTGATGTAGAATCATTCAGAGAAAGACAAGTTACTGCCTCAAGCACCAAGACTAATCTCACCTTCTAAACTCTCCCCCAGAAGGGCAAGCACTTAAAATGCCAGGTGAAAGATTTCCCTTGCACCATTCCAAGTGAACACAGAGCATCCTTACAAGCCAAAGATAATATTCATCCTGGTCAGAGGGCCAACACAGCAACCTATGCATTCATCTGGGCATTTACACAAGACTTTGGTGATGAACAGACCTTGAAATGTTTCCCTGGGCAAAGAAATCATCCGGTGAACAAAGCTGCAGGGGATTTCTAAATTACATCCCCCCCTCCTCGGTTCTCCTTTCCTTTTCCTCCTCCCACTCTCTCTTTATTTGATGCAACTGCAGTGCTGAGTGGTGGGGAGCTAAATTTGGTCCCCCCCTGACTAACAGGAGTGGGCACAGCAGAGAGCTGGAGCTCAGGGCACAGCTGCTGCTGTCTCTCACCGGGGTCTGGAGGGGTGGTAGAAGTGAAAACAAAGTGCTTAAAAAAACCCAAACTTCCTCTGAAGTCTGCTGTTGTCAACAGTTGCAGCTTTCAGGCCTGATCTGCTGGTCCTGCTTGGACACATCTTTGCAGGAAATGATGCTCCTTATCTCTTCCTTAGCACTTTCAGAGACAAATGCACCTCCCCAGCAGGACAAGTGCAAGGCAAGTGCCGCTCAACGTGATTAAAGAAGGAAGAAGTGCAAAACAAGATCAAATCACTCTTCTCCCCAGTGTCTCATAGCAACAGAAACACTGAGATTTACTCTTCCATTTTCAAGCAGAGCAGCAACAGATACCTGCACCTGAAACATCCAGATCAGTCCCACTTCTGAAGCCATTGATGGGTTTGAAGCTCCATGGCTCAGATAATCCTCCTGAACCATTTGTTTTCTCCTCCTCTAAATGGCCAACAGACTTGTGCTATTTAGATTTACTCACTATCATAGTCCCCTTGTTTTTTTAAATCTGGGTGTGCTTGCACTCATAAGCTCACTTAAGGACATATCTTGATCTCTTGGTGTTAGTAGCAGGTCAGAAGTTAAAGCTTTAAACCCAAATTTAAATTTAGTGGCTGATTTCTCATGCTCTGGGCCCTTCTGCTTGCACGAGGAATAACCAAGTTGCAGGGTGGCATTAAGGAACAAGCATGAAACAAAAGTGTGTTTTGCTCCATTAGTCACAGGCTGAGCACCAGCCAGCTGTCTGTGCTAAAAATATGCCACAGTTCGAGATTTCATAAATTAAATGCACTGCAGCAGACAGCTCCTCTCAGGTGGGAACACGCCTCCTTCCCATTCCAGTGACTGCATAATGAGCCTCCAAAGGAGGGAGACTTAACCCAGAAGATTGCCAAGATTTAACCTGTTAATTTTAAAGAATAATCTTAAAATATTCACATGTGTGCACTGCTTTTGTTTAGGTAACAGAGCATAGACATTAAAAGTATCAATCAGTAAGACCAGTGTACATTATCTCAACAGATTCCCACTGAAATCATTGATGCAATTGTTTCAGCGGAGTTCCAAATTAAGTTCCTCCTTCTCAGCTGCAAATGTGAGGAATCCTTCTATATTTAAAAAAGAAATGAAAGTACAGAGCGAGATTTCAAAATATTTTCTGTGGGGGGACTTCAAACGGCTCATTCAGTTCACCTCCCTGCGATCACACACTATGCTCAGCCCAAAATTGCAACAGCTGGGAAACTATTCCTTCTTCTGCTTCTTTTATTATGCCTTTAAATGGGCAGATGAAATGCAAAATGAAAACACATCAATGGGGAAACCTCCAAGCGCTGCAGGGGGACCATTTTTGTTCTCTGACTATCCCCCAGGAAACAAACTGGGCAGACCCAGCCACGGGCATTGTATTAATACAAATTACACAGTAATTAGGCAGTTAGGCGAGGAATTCCACAGCAAGGTGAGGGGAAGGAAACAGGAACAGAATCCTTACATATCGGGATGGCTCCTCCTGGTTCTGGTCGTTCATGTCCGTGGGGATGATCCGCGTGGCCAGGGGGCCCTTGGCAAAGGGCTTGGGTAACTGGCCCCTGAATTCCGACAGGATGAACTGGAGCTGCCAGCTGCAGGGAACAGGGAAAGTGCAGCAGCCAGTGACATTCTGGGGTGGGGAGAACCAAGGGCAGAACCGAGGACATCTCGTGGTGCCAGCTGAGATGCCAGGCCCTCAGGGTCACTCCCAGAACACTGGAGAAGTGCCCCTCACCAAACTGTGCCTATGACATGGAAGCACTTACTTGTCAGGCAGGAGGAAGCTGCTGGGGAACCTGTGCCACTCCTTCCCCACACACACGTTGACTGGCCTGCCCTCTGGCACTGTGTGAATGCTGGGGTCAGTGGCAATCCTGTGGAACTCGGGGTACAGGTCCAGGGGCCCGTGGTAGCCTGTGGAAGGCAGAAAAATGCGAAATAAGGCTGAAGTAAGAGGGACATTTACATGGCTGCTTTGGAAAGTCCTCAGAAAGGCTGTTCACATATAACTGGTAAACTCCTGAACAAATGAATTGGTCTGTGCTGGAAAGTGGCTGGATTCCTTTTAGCACAGATGCTTTATTCCCATTTCCCTGTCCTGGCAATGGCCCCCAGAACCCAAACCCACACTGCTGGGGTGGGAAGGATCACTGCATGGCTCTGATTCCAGCAGGTTCTGAAGGACCACGCCCAATCCATTAAGGACACATGCACCTAATCCCAAGTTTTACACGGGAAAATGCTGTTTCAGGAGTGATCATGTATTTGAAAGCTGAAGTATCTGCCTCAGTACCAGTCTGGGTACATTTCTGTATCAGCAGAGCTGCACTGGCTGAAGGTGAGGGGCAGCTTTTGGAGTGATGTAATTCCAGTGGTTCATTCATACATATGGATGGATGACTGTGCACATACACCCACACACACGTGTAATCACTCATCAATGGTGATTGCATTAATTAAAGCTTACCCCCCTCCCCGCAGCAGCGACATCCACACTTTTTGAGATTCCTGGCTTTTTACAGGCTGCCCGGGATCGAAGCAGCACAACAACCCTGGCCAAGCCAGGAGCCTGGGAGAGCCCAGAGCAGGTGTAAAACACCAACCTCCTGTAAAACACCAACCTCTGAACAAGGCAACAGAGCGTGACAGGGACAGAAGGCCGAAGAGGAAGACAGTGCCCAGGGCCAGCCAGTTGGAGGACACCGTGTAGTGCTCCAGGCGGTACCGCTGGAATATGAAGTGGTAACATTTCTGAGGAAAGAGTAAAAAAGAAAGAGACAATATAAAACTACTCAAAATCTGGTTAGCAAGATCCTGCCTTTCATGAGGACCTTGCAGCAGCGGCTGCGTCTCCGTCCAGATCTTTGCTCTTTGGGCTTTTTTAATTCAGATTCATCAAAACGCACAGAAATTCGCATTTTTCGGTCACATTTTTTAAGTGGTAATCCAAGGTATTTAAAGAAGTTCTCAGCTCTTTTCCCCAGGCAGCCTTCAGGTCAAAGCTGCAAAGTGCTCTCAACCAAGCTCCAGCTTGGTTGTTCCCAGGTGAAGCAGGAGCACCTTTCAGACACTGCAGAACTTCCCCAAATGAGGCAGAGTTCATTTTCCAGGCTGCACTGACTTGCTCTCCAACACAAAGTTCCATGACCCAGATATCCTGGGTGACCTGTAGTTGCTTACCCTGCCTGTACAAACTCCTGCTTTGAAGTGGACAAAAGAACACACGAGCCATTCTGAAACTGATAAAGGAAAAGCCTTTTAGGGTTTTTTTTTTTTAATTTAAAAGCCTTTCTGGGAACACTCAGGAGGAAATATACCCAGCCCTTGGCTTGGGCCTTTCTGCAGCAGTGGTTATTCACTTCCTATCCTCAGTTGGTTTCTGTTTCTCTTGTCCTGTTTGCATTTTCCTCCTGACAGTCAGACCCACGTGGTTTGGAGGGGGGGAGTGAGAAGCTTGGACTGCTGGTGGGCAATCAGGTCTCAGTTCCCAGCTGGATACTCTATGTCATCCAGCAGGGCTAAAAAATGCAGGGCAGAAATGTACACTAGATTTTACTAAAGCCATATCTGGCAAAAGGTCCTGAACCGTTGCCTGGTGATGCTGTGACAGCCAGAGCCACAAAACTGCTGACACCAGAGCTTCATCCTGGATGGATGCAAGGACTGAAACTCAGCTGGGGGACTCCAGGTGGGCACTGACACATCAGCAGTGATGGGAGATCAACAGTCAGGAGGGAAGAAGCAGGACAGGAGCTGCCACTGGTGCTCAGCAGGACACGGGAGGAACAGCAGGAGGAGGCCAAACAGCTGGAACAGGCTCCAGCAGGCACTAATGGCTGCATTTCTGGGCCTTTTTAGCAGGGGAAGATGAATAATTTTGACTCTGGGAAGGTTTATATCAGTCTCTATTAGTGCTTTGCTCTGTGAAGTGCTTCAAGTGATATTTACTAAACATCCAGTTTTTGGCTCCTCCAAATATCCAACGCAGCTTCCCTGCATCTAAACAAGCTCACTTTTCCTTTCTCAAGCCAGGGAAGGACTCAACAGAATCCTACACACCCACATTCCTGCCCCTGACCACCAGACAAGGGAGGCCCTGACAGTCCTGAACTGTCACAGGCACAGATATTCTGCAGGTGTTCCCAAACTTTGGGGAGCAATGCTAAAAGAAATCAGCTGGAAATGATGTTCCCTAAAGGTGTGAGCCTCATCTAAAAACATGTTCCACTCAAACTTACCTGGAGAGCAGAGAGAGCCACAGCACCGGAGAGACAGATGAGGGGATAGATGGGAAAGAGAAACCTCTCCTCTTTGTGGGGCTGGCTGAAGAAAATCATGATCCAGATGTACATGGGAGCCAGTGTCAGCCAGTAGGGACGGCCCAGATTCTGAACTGGAAGAAACAGAAACTCAGCAAAGCAGCAAAAGGCAAGAATGAGGGGTTCAACCTGTCCCCTCCCTTGCACAGTCACATCTCACCCCCAAAGCCCATTCTCCAGACCCAAACCTGGCTGCCTTCAGACACGAACACAGCCTGTTCTGAGCACCCACGTTGCTGAAATCCAAAGAGTCAGCACAGAATTGGGATCAGAGAATTTTCATAGATACAGGAGGACAGAAAATAAGGGACTGCACTCCTGAATCCAAGCAAGAGGCAAAACCCACGAAGGACTGACGTATCTAAAGATCTCCTGCTGTGTATTGTACACACAAAGATCAGAAGGGATCTCCCCTGGATCCCCCTCTCCCCTTACAAAGGGTTGTTTGTGGAGTGAAGTTTCCACAACCTTCATTGCCTCATTACAAAAATAACAGCATGAGAGGTCTCTCAGGCGCCTTCTGCTTAGCAGAGGAAATAACTGATTCAAAAATAACAACAATTACCCTGAATTTCAGTCACACTGAGGAGGGTTCTACGCTGCCTGGCAATTCACAGTCCCTTCTCTGCCCCCTAACTACTCCCAACAGCAGAGTTAAGCAATTAAGCCAACGGCATTTCACAGACAATAAGAACAAAGCACTTGGCAGAATCGCTCCCGCTGTTAAGTACAAGAACACCGAGTGAACAGCAGGAAATCTTGCATTTACAGGATCTCCTACTGAGCTTTCACTGGTTCCTGACAGTATGTCACTCACAGCCAAGGAACAGAGAGGAGCAAATACCCGTTGACACACATTTTCATGGGGGATTATGATATTTCTGCTTCTTGTATTCAGTAAAAAAAATGAGAGGGAGAGCAAAGCACTGACTGGACTGATGAATCTGGAGGCTGCTGCTGACACTTGATGAATCTTCCTCAGGAGAACAGCAGAGAAGAATTCACACTTCCTCTCCAGAGTCCCTTACCAAATGTCATGTGTTTAAACTGATGTCATTTTATTATTTAAGGAAAAGCCCAACGTGAAGCAGGGAATATTCTGGTTCCTCCTTTTCCTGCTCTCAGTATCTCCACACCCTGGGGGACACTTCACAAAGCATGGGCAGCCAGGCTGTCCTGCCAGGGCTCAGTGCTGTGAGCTCAAGAGTGTCCTTCACAGAGCACAGAAGAGCCCAGTTCAACCCCAGAAACGTTCCCCAATAACTCTAAAGGTTCCCATGGAACCTTTAGACCAGATGGAAACAAGAGGTACACAGTTCCTTTCCCTCTTAAGACTGTTGAAATGTCAGACTGAGGGTTAGGTACCACACCCCTTGTTAAACTTGCTCTGGGTATGGGTAAATTCAGCCTTGATAACACATTGTTCTTCTGGAGGTGGAGGCAAGGAACAGGCCTGGACTGAGTAATGAGCTCCTATTACTCCAAAGGCTTTTGCTGAGCCCAGTTTCACTTCCAGAGAAGCAAAGCTGCTCCTTGGCAGGCTAAAGCTCTCCCTGCAGTGAGCAGGCTGAGCTCTGGGCTGTCTGTGCCTGGCTCTCACAGCTGCCCTGCACTCACCATGGAACTTCTGCAGCAGACACTCCATGAGACAGGTCAGTGGCAGCACCAGCAGCGCCAGAATGAAAGCCACGTTGAAATTCAGAAAGCCATTGATGAAGTAGAAGGACCAGGGTTCTGTACCTACAGGGTGAGAAAAAGGAAACAAGAGGTTTGGGATGATGAGCATGGAATGACATCTGGATGGAACAGCAGCTTTGCCTGACTCACAGAGTTAGTCAGCAGAGCATCTCAGCACCAGAGTATCTCACAATCATACCTGCCCAAGAAACTTCATTTTCTTCCTTTTCAGAAATTATTTCTCTCCTTAATTTTTCACTGGGTCATAGTCAGTTATCAATATAATATCAATACAATACCAATACTGCTCCTGACTCACAGCCCGCTCCAAGGGCCAGGCTTGCCCCGCAGAGTTCTGACACACACTGCACCCTTGCATTCAGAAACACCACACAAGCAAGGTGGAGGTGGAAACCTCTAAACCCAGGAAACTCGACTCCAAATTCATTCTTTCCAATTGCAGAGAAGCAAGAGAGGAGTAGCACAAAAGCACACAATGCCAGATAACTCTGGAGTGACGATGTGCGCTCAGTGTTGGCAGAAAATGTTGTCAAAAGGACTGAGAAGAAAGAGTTTGCATTCCCACTTCACCCCAACAAAGACTTTGCCACTGAAGCTCACCCAAACGCTACTTTTGGTACCTCCTCAGAGTCAGAACTATTTAAGATATGCTTCAACCAGAAGCAAGGCAGCTCTGCCTCCTACCATGACACACTTGGGTACTGGCTGCAAGCTTCCAAGGATGTAAATTCAAAGGCATTCCAATCCAACTGTCATTTATTTGGATGCTTAAAACCCTTAACAATGAGGAATGCCAGTTCCTCTCCACACATTTCCCACTCCCTGGGTGTGATTAGCTCAATCAGTCAGTAAATGACACGCGGGGGCTTTAATCACTGCACTGTTGTGACATGTGTCACATGCCACAGCAATTTCCTGCAATCAGAGCCACTTAAAGAAGGGTCCGTGTTGAAATTAATCAGACAACTGCAAAGCAGCGAGGAAAACCCGAACCCTCTGCAGCTCCCACAGCTAAACACGGGGAGAAGCTGCCCCAGGAATGTCACCAACCTGTCACTGGAGCCGCTGAGGCCAAGAAAACCTGCGGTTATTAGCACGGAAGGCAAATAGCAGTTATCAGGTAAATCCCAGATCTTTAAAGGGCAGCAGCAGGGACCACCCAGTCACCCTTCCACCTGCCCTGTGGAAAGCAAACTGGCTCTTTCTAGCCTGGTCTCTGATTTGGCAGCCTGGGGATCAGGAGGGAAGGACAATTTATGAATAATCCATAACCCAAACACACCCCTGAGAGGCTAATGAAGAGATCAGGTGGTGTGAAGCATGGTTTTAAGGACAAAAAGCTACTTTCTCACGGGTTTTTTTGCAGTGGGAGTGAACTGCCCTCAGAAACTAAGCCCTGGAGCCTCTCCTCCTTCTCCAGGGAGGAATTTTCTTCTCTGGGAGAGGAGAAAAAAATAAGATAAGGCAAAAAGAAAAAGAGAGAGGAGAACAGTGCACAGCAGGCAAAAAGCAATAGGCTGGGTCGTGGTGACTCACCCATTCAGAGCCACTCAGGCTCAAAGCCTCCCAGGGCAAAAGGCTTTTATTCCCGTTACCCACACGACTCAAGGTGAACTGAGAGAGAACTGCAGCATGAAAAACAGAAAAACCCAGTGCACACACGGAGTCCTGACCCAGAACACCATCCTTCAAGCAGGGAAGGACACTGAGGAACTCTCCATGCACAGAACTGATGGGAATGTGCTTCCACAGCATCGCCTCCAGAGCAGGACAGCAGATGGAAGTTCCTGCAAGTGTCCCACAGGCTGGAGCTGCAGGACAGGCACTGCTGAAGGCAGTGGGAAGAACACCGTGGCCCAGCCAGTTCCTGGCACAATGGTTCCATGGGGATAACCAGCTGGAAGCGCTGTCAGGCACCGAGCCAGAAGATGCTTTGTCCTTGGAGATGTGACAGGCTCCAGGAGCAACCCTGGAGATGCAATTCCCACCCAAGGTGATGGAACTGGACAAACCACCACGCTGCCCCCTGACCACAGCCATGGGGAGGCCAAAGCAGAGCACTTGTAAAATAGGCTGAGGCTCAGCTGCCCCACCCTGTGCTGGTCCCAGCCTGGGTGCAGGCAGGGGCTGCAGCTCAGCTCTTCAGCAGTAACTAAGCTGCAATAATTTGCTCATGAGTCACAGCCCTCATTCTAAGCGAGCCTGATTCAGTGCTGGTGTAACAAACACCCTGCTTGCTGCATTTCTTTTATTTTCACTCTGCTGAAGAACCAGGACCCAGCAGAGCAGGGTGTCACATCAACAGCCCCAGCTGAACAGAGCCCCCCAGAGTGCCACCACGCTGCAAGTGCCAGCCAAGGCTGCGGGCACAGAAAGTGGGGCAAGACTCTGGTCACAGATTGTGATTTCTCAGAACTTATGTAGGCAAAAACCTCACAAAGTCTCAGAATCGGGCTCGGGGATACATGCGTAGAAGCTGCTTTCCCTGGGCTGCAGAAAACCTAATTACCCCAGGGAAATACTAATTGCACAGACAGTATTTGTGTAGAAGGAGTGTATTGCTAAAGAGGAAAGAAAAATAAGAAGTTGAACCTTGCCTCCAAAACACTGTGGCGCTTACACTGAAGATGGTGTGGGCTGTTCACTCTGCTCCCATCATGTGAAAGTTGGGAAATCCCAGCTCCAAAGCCAGCAGGGACTGGCCAGCCCCTCATCCCCCCTGGTGGTGTTATTTTCTCCCAGTGTTTAGAGGCTCTCTAAACACACAGCCTTGTCCTGGCCACACTGCATTAAAGAGCAATTTCGAGCAGGCTCTTTTACTAGCCTGAGGATGTTATATGAATGTCACTATGAATAAAACACTTCAGAACAGATTGGTCCCTGGAGGCTTCTGCAAACAACTCATGCAGCACTGTGGAAAAGGTCAGGCACAGGCCCATGCCAAAACCTATCAGAGACAGGGCCTGGAGTTTACTCACAGAAAACTCACAGCAACAGCCTTCAGAGCCTTCCTGCAGAGAGGAGGAACCTTGGCAGAGCAGCTGCTGCCCTGCTGTGCCACGGCACAAGTGACAAATCACCATTCAGCACCACCCAAAACAGCCCTGCAAAGGAACCAACGGATGTGGGTGCAGGGCACGGCCAGAGAGAGCCTTGCTCCTGCTGACCACTGCTGAATCCCTCCTGGAACAGCTCAACCAGGATCAAAGAGAGGGCAGGGCAGGCCCTGCACCCTGAGGTCTCCCCCAGCCCCTCTGAAGCCCTGCAAGAAATGTAAAACTTTGCTACTCTTCACGGACAGCTTAGTGCAGTGGCAGCTCCCAAACACACACAGCACTGCCACCGAGGCTCAGAGCCGGGATTTGGGTCACACAGTTATCAGGGGACACCCCCTGCAGGCAGATGATCTGCCTCATGGCACACTCAGATCCCCTTGCCAGCAAAGCCCAGGCCATACACTGCCAAAAAGCAAAGGGATTCCCAAGGCACAGCACAGATTTGGGACTGCAGAGACACAGCGTGAACTGAAAAAAAACTACGGATCCTGCACTGCCACCCGCTTTTCCAAGGTATCTGCACCCTGGCTGTGAGGAACAACAGCCAGGTACTCAATCAGAGCTGACAAACACACACAGGTACCCCTTGTGCCCACTGCACTGGCTCAGCAGCCAGCCACTGACAGCTCTGCTGGGACACTGAGACACCTCACGGTGGTTTGCAGAACTGGGAAGCGAACAAAAGCAGCACCAGCTCACGGCGTGGAGAAACGCGGCAGTGGCCTGTGGATTCCCAGCTCGACAGAGACATCCCGTGTCCAGAAGCTGGAGCTGCAGCCTTTGGAGCTTGCAGGAGGGCTTTTGCTCCAGGGTACATCAGTAGCAAGAAAAACTCCCAACTCCCTTCTTGGCTTGTTGTCTCAAACTCACCGTAGAGATCAGGCCCGTGAGGGGTGAAGACATTGTATAAAACAATGTTGAGAGGGGCAACCACCAGCTTCCCGTAGTAATAGCTGTCCACCACTACCAAGGGCACCTGGAAGAAAGCAGCAGTCAGTTAAAGTGCCAGGAGCTTCTGCACTAAAGCTCCCTGTGATTTTCTGAAAGGAATTCATCCCTCCTGTCACAAGCCCAATCCATTCCCTCTTTGCATTGCTACAGGCACTTACCAGAAACAGGATCAACGACACCACACACCAGTTCAGGAAACTTTTCCACCTCTGCTTCAGTATCAACAAGTCAAAGGCAATAGGAAGCCTGAAAGAGAGACCAGCTGTCAGCTGGAGACCTTGGCTTTCCCCACTGCAGGTTCTCCTGCCCCTCCAAAGCCAGCTGAGAGAGAACCATCACTTCGCTGCCCTCTGCTCCTACTGCACACCCCAGCCATCCAACTCAAAAAACATCTGACAGAGTGCAAAACTCCCCAAAAGCTTCCCTCTTCTTACCCCAGAGCTGCACTGAAGGGCCAGCCCAGGAGGGCTCCAGCAGCCACCCCCAGCACTGCCACAGAGGTCTTGTCCATGTACCAGCCAGTCATGGCAACCACCGTGGTGTACATGCAGAAACTGCTGGGCAGGAAAGCTGCAGCACAAGGGAGGAGAGGGGTCAGCACAGCCTTCCCACACTTCATACCCACAGCAAGTGTCTTACACGAGTCTCACACTGGCTGGGAAAAGGGGTGCAGCCAGGCAGAGGGGGCAGGACACAAAAGGCAAGTGGAAGTGCCAAAATCTGAGCCTCCTTCCTCAGGTTAAAATATGTGCAAGGAAGGTAGGCCAAGAGACCCTGTTTAAAAGGCACAGCCAGGAGGCAGCAACAGAAACAAGCAGGAAACAAAGAGGAAACTGAAACATGCAAGAGAGTGACACAGAAAACATAATCTGAATCAACACTTATTCTATCACACCTGCCAGGAGAAACACCTCCAGCAGAACACAACCATAACAAACATACACTAGAGATACATAACACAGTGTCAGAGATGAGTTAGAGCTGTGGCTTCTCTTCTCTCCGGCCCTGTCTCTGGTTTCCAGGGACAAGGTCACTGTCAGTGTCACTGCTGTGAGCAAACCTACCTGCAGAAGCACAGAACATCCCCGTGCTGAGCACCAGGAAGGCCAGCATCAGCCTGCTCACATGCAGCCCAAACTTCTTGCACACAGCCCTGAGGAAGCAAGAGGGAAACACACCCCAAAAAGATCCTTAAATCCAGATTACTCCCAACAGAAAAAGCGCAAGGTAATAGCCTGAAAATCACAAACGAAGAGGCAGCGGGTAAAATATAAAAACCCAGCTTAGACAAGATAATTGTATGTTAAGGATTTACTGCTTTTACTGGATGTAAACAGCACTGGCAGATGGATTACAGACAGCAACAATTAATGTCTTGCAGTAAAATTCACTGTGGTAAGCAAACAGCATCAGTCTCCTCCAGCAGAGCTCAGTCTACAACACTCCCACCCCGCTTGCTGCTGTCGGTGAGAAAACCAGTGTAGTCAGCAAAAAGCTGGAGTGGAGATGTGGGTGGCAGCTCTGAGAGCACAATTTTGTCCTAATTGTGGGATTCTCACCACTATTTCATTAAGTTATCATGGGAACACGTATTTTCAAGGTTCACTTTTAAGCGGTCCTATCTACCCGTGAGCTTCAAAGTGCATTTCCTGTCACTCAAAACACTGCAGACAGACTCTAACACTCACTTGTAGAAGTAGAGTTCACAAACGCAGCTCAGGAAGGCCAGGAAGCATCGGAGGAAATAGAAGATAAGGACCTAGGAGACACGGTTGGAGTGTGAGGAAGGCACAGGACACAAACTGGGCTTGTAAAGCATCGGGGGAAACTCACAAACCCTCCTAAATCCTTACACGGGTCAGTGTTTGTCAACAAAGGAGAGCTTTGTAAACACCAACTCCCTCACCTCTGACAACAAACAAAGCAGCTGCTTTCACACAGACCAAAGGCAGGTCCATTCCCCACAAAAGCAGGTTCCACACAGCTGATTTACCTTGTTGGTTTGCAGGACTCGGGCATGGAACCAGGCTGGTAAGGCATGGAGCCACAGGTAAGCATAGGAGCGGATGGCATAGGCTGGGGAGTACTCCCACGTCTGAAACCCCTTCCCATAGATGAGGTAGTGTGTCTGCAGTGGAGATTAAATAAATGAAACAGCACGCATCACACAGAGCAGGCAGTTTACCATTTCCCACCTCCGAGTCCTTCAGCACAAAAATTCCTCCCGGAGAGGCTGGCAGGGGGTTCCAAATAAACCCGCATCTGCACAGGCCAAGCACACGCTGCCCAAATCCCAAGGGCACAGAGCCACTCACCGGTTCCCAGTAGTTGAAGGTCTCGTCACAATCAGAGATGTTGCTCAGGAGGGCTGCACAGAACCTGGCCGAGATGAGACACTTGAAAGCTGTTGATCCTTCGGGGGCCCAAACTTGTCCTGCTTTGCTCCCGGACGATCTAATCCAAAGGGAGAAAAAATAAATAAATAAATAAATAAATAAATAAATAAAAACGAATACGCACCAGAAAGGCTCAGCAGCGAGACCGAGCGACACTAAAAGAGCAGAGGAGTGTATCTGAGCCGCTGATTCCCCTGGGGAAGGGGGGGGGTGGGTACCAGGGCAGCAGCATCATCCACCACCCCCCAAACCAGAGGGGCTGCTGCCGGCCGGGGAGATGCTGGCAGCGCCCGGGGGGGCTCCCCTGACCCCGCCGCGGCACCCACTCTGCCCGCGGCTCCTCCGCCTCCGGCCGCCGCCCCGCCGCCTCCCCGCCGCCCGCCCGCGGCCGCTGCCGGGCCCCCTTGGCGGCCATGCCGGCTGCGGGCACGGCCGGCCGGGCGGGGCGGGGCGGCAGCGCCGCTGAAGCCGCCGCCGCCATGACGGGTGCGGGCAGAGGGGGCGGGCGGGAGCGCCCTGCCCTCACACACACACCGCGTCTGGCCCGGGGAATGGGGGCACAGGGTGTGCCCCGCTGTGTTTTAATTTATTAAAAGGAACAGCTGCTCGTGTCCACCTGCCTTTTCACAGCGTAATTCTACAGGTTACGGTACCCCCGGGCCGCTGCTGGGGTTCTCTGTCAGTTGCGGTCACAGCTGCTGCTGCTGCTGCAGCGGCAGCAAAGGATGCACGACTGGTGGTACAGCTGTTTTAGGGCTAGTTAGGACCCTTTGGAATATAGTGATGGGAATAATTTGTGATTAGTCACGCAGAGAAGCTGTGGCTGCCCCATCCCTGGAAGCGTCCAAGGCCAGGTTGGACGGGGCTTGGAGCAACCTGGGATAGCGAAAGGTGTCCCTGCCCATGGAAGGAGATGTGCTTTAAGGTCCTTTCCAACCCAAACCATTCTGGGATTCCGTGATTACCGTCTATATTAGCTCCTCAGGAAATGGTCCATGGCTGGGATCCCACCCCCAGCACCTCTGCTGAGATGGGCTGTGTGAGGCAACCCAGAGCCACCATCCTCCCACAAGGAGCATCTGTTTTCAGTGATCAAAGCACACACAGTGCCTGGGAAATGGTAAGATCCTCCCTGTTTCAGCGTGCTCGAGATAATCACCACCAGCGTAAGGTGCTGGGCAAGCATAAACAGGAACAGGAAAAGTGAATTGGCGTCAGGAAGGAGAACTCTCACAGGACCCTAGAAAAGAAAGGCTCCACTTTATAAAGTGAGGTTTCGTTACACACACAGAGAACAGGGAGGTGCTCGGTCCTCCTTAACAGGAATGTCCACATTTCTATTGCGCGCAGGTGCTCAAAGTCCACCCCGCCTTTGTCGGAGGCACTGCAATAACACACCGTGTCAGGTGACGTTTTCCAGAGCAGAAACCTGCACAGACACTGCTCGAGCACCTGAACGCAAGGTGGGATGTTCTACCTCAGAGTCACACCCAGCTGTCGCTGGATCTCCTCCCGCAGGCGCAGCTGCATCTCCGCGGCCCCGCGGCAGCTCAGCGCCCTGTCACAGGACTGGAAGGTCAGCCTGTAGCAGAGGCTCCTCCGCCCCGTTCCCGCCTGCTGGAAACTGTCCCTTAACTGGACAGAAACCACCATTTCACCTGACACCCCCCTGGCAAGGGTGTGGAAAGCAACTTCATCGAACTGCTCCCCCTCGGGAACCCAAAAGCTGACGTCGTGCACGTAGGAAGGGGGATAGAGGGAAAAACTCTTGAAAAGCCTCAGCTGCCCTCTAGGAAACTGCCTCAGGAACCGCGAGTCTGGTGTCCAGAGCATCCTCCAGTCGGATATTCCACAGAGCAGCATGGCCAGCAGGTCAAGGTTCAGTGAGGCAAAGACAAGCACCAGCTCACTGCTTGCTAGTTCATGAGATGTCCTTATAACCCCCACGCAGGAGCCCTTCTCACAGGAGCCTGGAGGATCTGTCTCCACGAAGATGAAGTACTGAATTTTACCAAGCTGAGACTCAAAAGCAGCGAAGTCATTTCGCTCAGTTGTTTCAGAGCCCGTTGCTTCCTGCAGGTTGATGTTTGGTTTAAGGCCAGTCTGGTGGAGAGAATGTATGGTGGATGTAATGTTATTCACCAGCACCTGGACACAGCTGCTCTCTGCACCCCTGTTCACTGCAAGCACAATGAGCACCTCGTGAAAAACAGGCATGGAGTGAGGAGTGATGCGACACTTCCTGAAAACTGGCCCAGAAAAAACATGGAGTGTCCCTGCAGGAAAGGCTCCTTCTTGCATTCTTGCCTGAGCATGAGGCAGAAGGGAAGGTCTAAGATAAAACTGCCCTGGACTGTGACATCCTTCTGGTACATTCTTCTCTGTGCCCTGGCAAAAATCAACATGGGAAAACAAAACTGCACGTGCCAGTCCATGAGACGTTTCCTCTGTGCTTGGAGTCTCCTCTGGGCTCAGAGTGATCCAAAAGATATTGGAGGGACAAACTCCCTCGAGGTGGCCGTGGTGGAGCAGGGAAAGGCAGCAGTCAGTGTCCTGTAAAGGAAAGGCTTGGCTGAGCCCTGCCATGAGCTCCTCCTTCACTGTCCGGACTGGGTGGTTTGAATTCGGCTCTAGGAAACCCCTGGGAAAAAGAAAAGTGCAAATTACAGGCACCACGAAACAGATTTCCCTGAAATGTTCCCTGTAGTCATAATTTGAGTGCAGCAATTCACCCAAAACATTCTTAAGCCAGTTTTTAATAACTACCTGAACAAGCCAAGCCTTTCACCAAACCTTCAACCAGGACAGTGGTGTTTGTCTCCAGGCTGCAATCAAGAATTAATTGAATTTGCTAATAAAAAAGGAATGGGACTTTGACCAACCTTCATATCCATTTATCTGACACCTGGTCACTCCCAGTGAGAGCAGGAGAGCGTGTTATGACCAAACAGAAACTAATGATAAAACTCACCTATTCATTTTATCCACAAGGACTTGTGGCACTTGAAAAGAAACCTTTTGGCTTCCCAGTTGTATCTGGCAGCTCCCAGGTGTGAAACACAGGGGCGGTGTGCTCCGAGTGAAGATGTGGTTCAGAGCACCCTCTACACGGAAGGATTTATCTTGGCTCCTGACAACACACAAAACCAGAGCAAAGTCATTGATAATCAATGATATTTAATGTGCCACAAGTAAATCTTACACAGGTAACTCCATGTGACACTGGCACACGTCTCAGTGAATCCCAGGCCTTGTTACAACCCTGTTGGGATTACCTGCTAAGCAGATACACACCCCACAGTCCTCCTGATGATTTTGACCTTTAAAATCCTAGGATAGTCTTATTTTTAGAGGGTACTTTGGCAAGAAGCTTGCATTTGAATCTTGGCCATTCTGCTCAGTGATGAAAAAGAACTGTAGCTATTTTCAGGAAATTTAAAAGGAGTTCCTCTCCTCTCCAACAAAAAGATACTTAAAGAACACACTAATGCTGGGCTTCATAAGAGCACAAATATCAGATTTTCAGTCTAGCCGTGTGATGGTTACCTGTAACCTGTACATTTATATCCATGGATTGTCTCTGTATTAAAAGGATGAACATTACTCAAGATAAATCCAGCTCCTGCCGCCACAGCCACTATTTGCCAGCTGTTGTGCCACTCCCTCCTTGGCTGGTCCATGGGTGTCCCACCCTGGCCATTGCACAGAGCCACATGGATCTCTCCCTCCTCTGCCAGCACTTCTGCGGAGCTGGAAGGAAAAGCACCAACAAGAAGAACCCTGTTAGCACACCCACAAAGTTCACAGGGCCAGAAAAGCACCCAGAGCACAGCCACAAACCTGTGTATCACAGCAGGCAATCAGCACAGGACTCTTTCTGGGTTACTCACCTACGGAAAAAGTGGGCAAGAAGCTCCCTGTTCTTCACTACCCCAGCCTTCCTCCCACAGTGGGGGAAGTTGAAGTAAATGCAATCAAATTCTCTTTTTTCTGGTGAAAAGTAGTCCTTCAGCTTGGAGCAGTCCACAGAAAACACAACCTCAGCTCCTGCAACAGCAAAGCAAAAAAGAAACCAAGGGTGTGATGTTTATCATTAGGGAAAATTTTAGAGAAAGGTAGGAGTGCAAGTTCTCTAATTGGTTTTAAAATACGTGAGAGCTGCCAGGCATCTCCCCACTTGTGCATTAGGGATGCCAGGAAGCCTGGGCTCCACTTCATCTCTTGTGGAAACTTATAAAGATACTTGAAAACAATAGTTTCAGGGCAATCTCAGCACTATTTAAGTCTGATCAGATTTTAGGGTGTTCGATTTAGCCAAACGGACCGTTCCCGTCCCTCATCTGAGATGAGACTCCTGGAGTGGCGAGGGGCTCCCACGGGGCTGGAAACAGGGCATGGCAGCGCGATTGATGAGAGGAGGGCTCAGCGACACCGACCTCCTGCACCGCTGTGCCCGGAGGTCCCACCATCCTATCCCATCCTATCCCATCGCTATCCATCGCATCCCACCCGCGCACGCACCGCTCTCCCGCAGCCTGCGGATGCTCCGCGCGGCTCCCCCGCGCCGGGACGCGTCCTCCTCGCTCTCGTAGCAAGTGGCCACCACGTGCGTGCCCCGGGCCCCGCAGAGGGAAGCGGCGAAGGAGAAGTTGCCCTCCCCGAGCAGCAGGACGCGGCGGAGCCCCATGCCCGGGCAGCGGCTCGCAGCCCCCGGCGCCCGGAGCCCCCGGTTCCCGGAGCCGAAGTCGCTCGCTCATGACGTGGAGCCGGTCAGCGGCCACTGCTGGTGGCGTCGGGGCATCCCCGGTGCCTCCTGAGCAGCCGGTTCCCCGCGCCGGGGGATCCAGGGGGCTGCCGGAGCCTCCTGGGATGGATGGATGGATGGATGGATGAGCCTCCGCATCCCCCCCGCCGCCTCCCCGGCGCCGCGCTTGGAAGGGGCTGCGCTTTGGGAGGGCTTTCTGAGCCGGTGCGCAACAGGAAATGGGCGTTAAATAAATAAATAAATACATACATCTGTTAATAAATAAATAAAGCTGTAAGTAAATAAATAAATAAAGCTAAGGAAATGAGGAATCACAGAATGCTGGGATGGTTTGGGTTGGAAAGGATCTTAAAGCTCATCTCCTTCCATGGGCAGGGACACCTTCCACTACCCCACATGGCTCCAACCTGTCCTTAGACACTTCCAGGGCTGGGACAGCCACAGCTCCTCTGAGCAACCCGTGCCAGGGCCTCACCACCCTCACAGGGAACAATTTCTCCCCAGTATCCCATCTAACCCTGCCCTGGGATACTGGGGAGGCATTGGGTCCCTGTGGCCTTGGGTAAATCACTTTCTGTGCTTCAAAGGGTGGGTAAGTGACCCTGAGAGATGTTCAGTGCTGAGACATGGAGCACAACACCTCAGGAGAATAATTACCACACCACCTCACCCCTCCAGGAAAGGAAAAAAAACCACCCAGACTTATATTTAGCCATGCTAAATGTGAATTTTCCTTTCCAGCATCCTCACTGCTTTGAAGCACCTTGCTCTCCAGATTACAAGGGAAACATCAGAGGGTGAAGTGTCTGTGCTCAGAGCTGAAACCATCTGTTGGATGTGTGGTGCAGCTAAAGAGGAGCTCCCGAAAGCCATTTGTGCTTAGAGATGACAGAGATGTTTTCTGTCATTTTCTGCCTGCTGAGCTGTGCTGCTGTGCCACCACAGAACAGGTATTTCAGGTCATTCAGGGAGTGGTATCTGCATTTCAAGTATTCTTGTCTAGCTGACCTCATCATCCCCAAAGAGCTTTCACTCAAAATGCCCATTTCTTGCTCCTGAGTTTGAGCCCAACAAAACCCTGCACTATATAAAAAACCCACATTTCCCTCAGGGAAAATGCACTGGATATATTCTTGCTATTTCCCACTTACCTCAATTTTTTTTTTAAAACAATTTTATTCTTTTAGAATTTGAACAAGAGCCTCATTGGTTTCTGGGCCCCTACCCTGAGTTAGAACCTCCATTGTGCAACCCAGCTGTTCAGTCCTGCTTCACTACAGGCCACCACATGGCAGCACTTTTATTTTTGCTTGTGTCCAACACTCAGGGAAGGAGCAAGAAGGATGCAGGAAAAGCAACAGACTCAGAAACCAGGAGGCCTGTCTGCCCACAGTGCTGCAGTGATTTCCTTCAAGCAAAAAGGCCTGTCACACATGAAAGCCAAATGTAGCATCATGTGGAAAGCATTCTTCCTGCTTTTCAATCTGTATTGTTTGTGGCCTAAGTGAGTGTCTGTGGTTTGTTCTTGTGTGCAGAGGTGACTGTGAGTCACTGCTCCCCCTGTGCCTGGTCAGACAAGCCCAAGGAACACCTTAACTGGGAGAGCTTATTGGAACCAGCTAATGGGAAACACCAGACCTTGGCAACGAGGGGGGATTTGAGGGATTTGGCAATGACCCCACGTCACTGAGTGCTCGTTTTATTTTTCCTCCCCTAAAGACACAGAATGAAGGGTAACCTCTCAGTTCATCTGAGGTGTAAACTGATCCCTTCTCATAGAACTCTTGTCTTAGGTATAAGGAACATAAAAAATAGGTCAGGTCATGGCTGAGTCTGATGATCTGTGTGACAGATCTGTGGCGTTCTGTCCTTTTTGAAGATGAATTTTAGAATTCAATTCCAGTAATAACAGACTTTCCTTTCTGCTCATATCCCTTTGAAGAGAGGTGCTAAGCAGATGATGGTGCCTGAAAAGGACTTAGTAGTGGTTTGTATCACTCAACAATGATGGCATAAAGCAGGTTATTGCTGTAGACATCAGATCCTGCTCATTGTTTGAAGGGCACTAACAGCATAGTTTCAAAGGGATGTGATTTGCATCATGAGAGCAGGATGTTTTTCTCCTCTGGGGAGATATCTGTGTTTTACTGCAGCTCTGCAGTTTTCATCTGCAGCTGCTCTGAATTGGCTGCAGCATTTGGATGCTTCTCCACAACGTGAGTCATTCTAGAGATTTAAGATACAGTTGTCTTCCAGTCAGTTGTTATCGAATACCCACACTTCAAATGGGTTTCAACTGTCATGAAGTTGTTTTACCAGTTTAATCTCCACTGGAGAAACTTTTCTGTGGCTTGTGAAACACTCTGAAATCCTCTGAAATCCTCTGGCAACACTGAGGGAAAAGACTCGTGCATTAGATGTTTGCAAAACATTAGAGAACGCAAAGTGAAGGGGGATAAGTGCTTGTGGACACCAAGACAAGCTGTCCTGGACACACCTGCCACTCAAGCTGTGAGGAAGGAGGGTACCAGGCACGTTCACCTCACACAGCTCCCTGGACCCAACACTCCACTTGTCCTCCGTGCCCCCAAACAAATAAATACAGACTGCTTGTTCATGTTTTATTCGTTAGTAAACTTACTCGGCATAAATAATAAGAGCAGCCACTGGAGCCAGGTGCTGTGGGCTGGCCCCAGGGGGATGTGGGCTGGCCCCGGGGGGGTGTGGGCAGCAGCCCTACTTCCTCTGGGCGCCTGCGATGGCCGGCTTCTCCTCGCGGGTGATGGGGATGGTGCGCTCGGGGACGTCGCTCACTTTCCTGGGCGCGCTCACGGTCAGCACCCCGTCCAGGGACAGGGACGAGGTGATGGTCAGAGGGTCCACGTCGTCTGGGATCCTGTATTTCCTGTTGAACTCCCTGGCAATGAAGCCGTGCTCGTCCTTCGAAAGGAGAAGGGACAAGGCGCAGTTAGGAGCGTTCGCTCAGTGCCACCATTATCATCATCATAATCAACATCATCATTATTGTTATTGCTATTATTATATTGATATGGCAATTCCAGCTACTTTATTATGAGTATTCCCTTCCTTCTGCCAAGGAACTGGGGACAGGAGGTAGGAAGGAGATGGGGACTGGAAAACGCTGTTGCATCCACCTTTGAACATGGCTTTGGATTTCTGTCTGCCCAGCTGGCACCCAGGTCTCCCAGGCCAGAAAGAAGTGGGATTATGAGAGCAGAACACAAACTTTAAGGGTTAGAAACTCAGAGCTGGGCCTAGGAAAGGTTACACAACAGGGCACTGCACTGGTTCCTTGTGTGGTTTGATTATCACAGCTTGTTGTCAGTGTATCAAACACCTCCCTGCATTTCTGGCCTCTTCCCAAAAAGAGGGAGGCCCAAAAATGCCCATTTCAAAGACGATTTTCCAGTTCAGTTCACAGTTCCTGTAACATCAGCGAGAAATGTTCGCCCTCTTGCTGCCCTGTCTGAGATCAGCTGGGGGGGTTTGCACAGAGCATCTTCCATTAGTGTTGGCTGATAAAGAAAATAATTATAAGTATTTGAGGTGAGCACAGGGAGGGGAAGTTTTGCAGCCTCCTTGCTTCACCAGAGGTGAGGAAGCTCACACTGAGAGCTGCACAGTTAGGTCACAAGTACCTGGCGCTCCTCGTGCTTCCCGTGAATTTCTATCATGTCCCCGAGCACCTTCACCTTCAGCTCCTCAGGGGAGAAATGCTTCACATCAAGATTTACATAAAACTTGTCCTTGTCCAGTCGCATCTGCAAAACAAGGAGGTGACTTCAGAAAAGAGCAGGTGAGGGTTTCTGCTTCAAAAGGCACTCAGAACTCAGCAGGTCAACACTCAGCTGGTGTCTACACATGCACTGACCTTTGTTGTGGGGTCCTGATCTGAGTGGCTTTGTCCCTGGCTGGCCTTGCATTAATCTGCCCATCCCTGCGGTACCTGAGATTCTCAATTTGTTAAAATTTGCTAAAACTGACCCCTGAGTTGGTGTAGTGCTGGTTATGGCTGCTTCGGTGCACAGCCAGACCCAGGTCGCTAAATCAGGGCAAACATTATGCAAAGATTAAAATAATACTTCCCTCTCCCTCCTTCTGCTCAGAATAGCTCTACAAGCTACTTGTAAGTAAGAGATTGACTCGTAGAACAGGCAAGTGCCTCTTGGCTCAGCCCCTGAAGCAAGCAGACTCCTGCTCCTTGATCCTTTGGGTTTTGTATCTGATTGAAAACACTGCTCTTCTCGGCAGGGATTCTTTAAAATAGGCCCCTTTTTCCTCAGCAGCCTGACATGAACCTCCCACTGCCCCTGCCCCTGTGCTGTTTGCTTCTCAGGTGGGAGTGGGATTGGAAGTCTGGCAGAGCAGACTGGGAAATTAGGGAAATCAGGCTTCCTCCTGTCTTCTGTCAGCTCTTAGAGCCACCTCAGTTTGCCTCTCTTCCCATCACTATGGCAATACTTGCTCTCAGCCACAAACGACGAGCAGAGCGTGCAGAGCTCCTTGCCTAATGAAGAGCCACAAGCACAGCACCCTTCTCCCCAGCCTTCTCCTAAATAACCACCTACAAGCAGCTTCCAAGCTCGGGGCTCTCCTGGGCGTCCAGCTCCGGAGCCAGCAGGACGTGCACACAGCGGTAACAAAGAGCACGAAGAAGCAAAGATTACCTCAGAGAGTCCTGCCTCTAGCCAACTGGGCATCCGAAGGATGGGGGATCTCATCAGGAAGGGGCTGAAGCTGGGGGAAACAGGGAGCAGCTCTGACTCCTGCAGGTGCTCGCCGAAAATCTGGTCAAAGATACGACTCGGTGCCAACCAAGAAAAGAAGGGTCTGCGGATCAGGGGGTTATGAATGGTGATATCCATTGGAGAGCGCTGGAGGAGCCTGGCAAACAACTGTGCTGCAGTGCTGTGCTGGGAGCCTGGGACAGCTTTATACCCGTGCAGCTGGCCTGGCCTTCCACCCCCCCGAGGCCTCTTGAACAGTGGTGTCAGGGATTTTATTGTCCCACTCCTGGGCCGGTCCCCTCGGCGGTGCCCAGTAGCTGTCTGAGGGATTTGAACGCGCTGCTGAGGAGGAGGGGGAAGGGGAGAAGGAGAAAAGGAGCCCAATGGGGCAGCAAGAAGCCAAAGTGCCCAGCCCGCCCCGCTCCCCACGTGCTGTTTATCTGCAGAGTCCCAGGCAGGCTTGGCGGATGTTCCCAGCTGCTTCGGATGCCAGCGGGATCAATGCAGCTCCTATCTTTGGCTCCCGGGGAGAACGACAAGGGGCCGTTGTTCCCACTGCCAGCGCCCCGGGTTCAGCTCCCCGCATCGCCCACCAGCTCGGGCAGGGCTCTGCCCCTGCCTGCAGCAAAGGGAGTCACAGTCAGGGGCAGGGAAGAGCCCAGCAGGTCTGGGCTGGGATCCCCCTGGCACTGCAGCCCAGGGAAGCCTTTGTGCCTGGTGGTATGGGAATGAAGGATGGATTTCTCCACCATTCAGCCCAACACCTCTGGTCTTTGGCCCAGCACAGAAACCACTGGAGAGCCCAACACTGTGACCTCAGAGACCCTGGACGGCCAGAGCAAAGATGACCTGGGCATGCTCATGGTGTCTTCTCAGGGGATGGAGCCATCTCTGTCTGCCTGTGCCCCTGCACTAAGCTCATTTTCTATAGTTGTGCTCCTAATGCATCTTAACTCACACATTTATTTTAATTCCTGCCTCGCCTGTGAGCCTCAATCACAGGAATGGGTTCAGCCTGGCAACTGTACTTAAAGGGCAAGAACTAGTCTCTGCCTCTGAGCTCGTAACTTAGACACAGTTTCTGGCTCAGGGGCGCTGCCAGCACTGCCAGCCCTTTGCAAAAGGCCCTGAGCCTCTTCCTCTCAGCTTGCCTGCAAGAATAGGGAGCAGAATTTGCTCTGTGCAGCAGCTCAGGCCATAAATACCCTCTCCAGTTCCCCATTACATCAACAGCACTGCACCTGCTCCCTCACACTGCAGGGACACGGGCTCAGGGAAATCTCTGGTTTCAGGGGACGTGGAGCTCAGCTGGGCTCTGCTCCCCTCCTGCACCACCACCAGCTCCCCAGCCCTGTTCAACAGGACTGGGTCTATGCCAACTGCAGCCCCTTGGTTAACTCAAGATCCCTGAACAGGCAGGACCAACCAGCATTAGCTACTGCCCCATCCCCATGAGGGGCTTCAGGGCCATCAGGACCATCAAGACCATCCATACCAGTGCCAGGCACTCCCTGGACCTGCTTACTGGCCTTGGAGCACCACCTTGGAGCACAGCCTGGGGTCTGTCCTGCTTTTCCCTGCTTCAGCCTCCCCCAGCTCATCCCTGTGCCTCCTGGCTGTACTTGGCTGCCCATTCCCCTCCTGCACCCCCTGCTCCAGAAGGGGATCTCTGGATGTGGGATGTTCCCAAGGTGTCCCTGACTGCAGGCAGCGCCTGCACTCCCTGCTGGAATGCGGCGAGAAGCTTCTCCCGTCACCCTGGCGAGGCATCCTGGGCCCTGTGCGTGTGGCTATTTTGGTCCATCTTTTTATCACACACTCCTCCCTTTGGAATTCACCCAATTAAAACCTTGCAATCTGCAGCCTTCACTCTCAGAGGCAGCGAGGGCTCGGCAGGTCCCCGTCCCCAGCCCCGCCATGGCCGCACGGACCGTGCCCCACGCCCACCCCATGAGCGCCGAGTACGAGTTCGCCAACCCCAGCAAGATCTACGACCAGAACTTCGGAGAAGGTAAGAAAGGAGGTGGGATTCCCCTGGCACCTTTCTCTGCCCTGGTGCAGCAAGGCTGTGGTGGAGCTCCCCTGGGCAGATTGACCTCCAGAGCAGGCGAAGGGAGCAGGAGCCAAGGAATTCGGAGTGGGAGAACCCAGATCAAACCAGGGGGACAGCCAGGGTCTCTCTGTTCATGTCCACTGCCTCCATCCGTGCCTACTGCTGTGTGTCCTGTCCCTCCCTCGTGCCAGCCATGCTCTGGCATTCGTGCACATGCTGTGCAAACATGGAGCGAAACGCTCAGGGGAGGGCGGGGGGGAAGTTTTTTCAGCCAGGGGATGTGGAGAAAAGCTGAGCTGGGGGGTTCAGCACAAAGCTGGGCAGTGGCTGGCGGAGGGGAAGGAATGTGGGCAGCAGCAGAACCATTCAGCTCCAGCACAACAGCGTGAAAAGGCAAAAAGCTCCAAGGAAAGCCCCCCGGACAATGGCACACAAAAGGCCTTTAGTTCTTCAGGGCAGTTTTCTCCACCATCAGCATTTTCCATGCCCATCCCTGGCTGTGGGCTCTGCACTGCAGAGCGCCCAGTGCACCTCCCAGTCCCTCCCAGTCCACCCAACAGACATGTGAAGCTGGATGCCAGCCCTGGGCCCGCTGGCAGCCCTGGGCTGTGTGGTGGGAGGCAGTGGCTGGCAGGCTCTGTTTGTGTGTGTGTGTGTGTGTTTCAGAGACACAAAGGTAGGAACTGCAAGAGGCTCCACCCCTATTGTGCTGATGTGGTGGCAAACCCAAGGTGTGTGCCAGGTCCCGGCCTCCTCCTCCTGCCACCCTCCTCCTCCAGCTCTTCCCTTGGAAACCCCGCCCTCCTCACTGAGTCTCCTTTCCAGGTGTGTCCCCATCTGAGATTTTAGCCCCTGCCCTGTACCACGGCTACTACATCAGGCCTCGGATCAACAAGCAGCTGGAGCGGGGCACCTCGGAGATCTGCCTGAACGAGCACAAGTTCCAGGTGTTCCTGGACGTCTGCCAGTTCCTGCCCGACGAGCTCAGCGTGCGCACCGTGGACAACCTGCTGGAGGTGGTGGGGCAGCACCCCCAGAAGGCTGATCGCCACGGCTTCATCTCCAGGGAGTTCACCAGGACCTACATCCTCCCCCTGGACGTCGACCCCTTGCTGGTGAGGGCCACCCTGTCCCACGACGGCATCCTGAGCATCGTGGCTCCCCGCACCGGCAAGGAGCTGAAGGCCAAGGTCAACGAGGTGAAGATAACCCAGGAGGAGCAGCCAGTGGGGAAAGAAGAGCAGCCCGAGGAAGGAAAAGAGAAGGAGAAGTCCTAAGGGCCCCAGGTGTGGGCTTGCACAGGGAAGGTGGGGGGGACAGGGGTGGGGAACCCACGGTGACAGACTCGTGTTTCTCACCATCAGTGTTTAGCAGGGCTCTGAGGCAGCCAGACTGCTGCTTCCCAGGGCTGATGGCTGGGAAAAAAAAGGGACTTGGAGCTGAAAACAGAGGGGGACTGAAGTGTTAGTGTGAGTGAGTGAGTGTGATGTGAGTTTTCTCCTAGGTCAAGTGCTCATGGAGCACCAGGCAGGGTGCTCTTCTCTCACCCCAAAAAACCAGGGCCACTCTTACCCCAAACTGTGAGGCTGTGCCACAGTGGGAAGAGGGAAGAGATGATCCCAGTGCCTTGTCTCTGGGCTGGTGGCTGAGCTTTGTGGACACCATGGGAGGTGGTTGTTGGTCTGTAAAAGTGCCTGCAGTTCTCAGGAGGAGAGAGGAATAAACCTGCCCCTGGTCTTCTCTTGTTTGCCTTGGGTTCCTGGCCTGCAGCAGGAAGGATGGACAGTGAGGAGCAGAGCTGTGAGGAGCAGAGCAGCAGAGCTCACCCCATGGAAATGGCATCAGTGGTGACACGGAGGGACTGTGGGGCATCTCTGTGATTCACCTCCTGGCCCAGAGCCCCTCTGCAGGCACTGTGGGGTTGCTGACTGGCCACATGAGACATGTCCCCGTGGTCTCGTGGTGCTGGCCAGGATCGTGTGAGCTGCTGGCGGGGCAGCTGCTGCCCCGGGCGGCCCCAAGGGCTCAGCAGGTGCCAGTTGCAGTCCTCGTCTCGTCAGAGCCAAGTAAAGTAGGCAAAATGCTGTGTCAGTGCCTAAATATGGGGGGTTTCTGCTTCTCAGGGCCCCTGGCAGCAGGGAGGATGACAGTCAGGTTAAGAGCAGCCCTGTGTGACAGCTCAGGAGCCAGTGGGAGGGTGGCTGAGCCTCCACCCCCGGTGCACACCAAGTACCACACTCAGTCAGGACACCCCTGGGGGATGCAGACAAGCTGCTGCCAGTGAGGCACTGTCAAAATAGAAATATAAGTTGTCTAAGTCCTTAATAGTAATTCCAGAGATAATTCTGGGCTGGTGACTTTCAATCACCTGAAGCAGCTGCATCCCAGTCACCCAACACCCACCCAAACCCCCAGTCCAAGGAGGGCTGAGCTCCTGAGCCCAAATCCCTGTGTCTGTGTGTGGGCTCAGGCAGAGCCATCATTCCCTTAGTCCCCCCTCATAAACTGTGTCTTCAAACTCACAGACACTCCAGGGCAGCAGCTACAAAAGGCTTTCCTCTGCCTCTGATCTGGCATCTCCTGTGCGGGTAAGAAAGGCTGAAGGTCCCCTCTCTCACTGCAGATTTCCTGTCTCTGGGATAAACTTCCTTCCTGGGACTGGGGACAGGGAGGATGGCCAATGTACAACCCTCAGGCTGGGCAAAGGAGGGCACATCCACACACAGTGCAGACCTGGCACACGCCAGAGCATGAAGTGCCACCTGGGCTGCACAAGGGCTGCAGGTTGCTGGAGCCCTCGGGGCTCAAAGCAGGACCTGGCCGGGGCTGGGGCTGCACTGGGAGTGCACTTTGGCACTATTGCCCCAGAAATGCCCAGCACTGGCAGTCACCACACAGCTCTGTTCCCCCCTCCAGCTTTTCCTAGCCCTGTCTTTGCTCTGCCACGAGTTCATTCTCTGTGGCTGGGCCTTGCCCTGTGCCAGTCGCACAGCCTGTCACCCAGACAGGGCTGCAGAGACAGGGGCTGGCACTGCCTGGTGTCAGCCAGGGCTGTTCCTCTGCCCCCTGGCAGGCTCTGCACCACCCAGCCTGCTGGCTTTGCCCAGCAGGATTGCTGGAAGCCATGCTTTCTTTCATCCCTGCAGACACAGCCTGAGGAGGGAATGCAGAGTGGCAGCCAAGCGCTCCACGGCCCTGCCAATGTTTTTGATGCCTTTCTGTTTCTCTGGTGGAGCTCAAAGCAGCAGCTCCAGTATTTGTGAAAGAGGCTGATGGGAACAGGCTCCCAGCCCTTTTTTTTTTTTTCCTTCCCCACAAAGCAACAAAGCCCAAGTTATCCCAGAAATCAAAACAGCCACTGGTCCACTAAAACAACAGTGTCTGTGGCAAACCCAGAGACACACAGTCTGCAACTTCCCAAAGACCCCCAAGACCACCTGGGCTTTGCAGGACCCTGAGAACACGGTCCTGTTGGGATCAGGACTGAATCCCAGCTGCTGCACAAGTCCTAAATCCTCCCTGGGGTGCAGACTGGGCTGTGCCATTTCTCCAGCCACGTGATGAGGAGCAGTGTCAGAGCAAGGCTTGGGCTCTGCAGGTCACAGTGCAGCTCATCCAGGACAGCCCAGAGAGCAGCTGTGCCCTGTGGCCCTCCCAAAGCACGATCCTTCTCCTCCTGCTGCCTCCTGGATGGGCACAAAGTTTGCCCTGCACTTGGGCAGGTGATAAATGATGCTGTGAGCCTGGCTGAGAGCATGGGCACACCTGGAGGAGGGGAACTGGCCAGAAGGGTGAATTAAAACCTTGTTAGGGCACTCCACAAGAGACTCAGACCTGCACAGAACTGGGTCTGTGCCAAATCAAAGCTGTGGGGCACAGGTTCTGTGCACAGGAATGACATTCACGTGGTATCTTTTGGTATCTTTTGAGCATCACTCCTCTTAGTGCTGCCTGAGATTAGGCGGCAGGATTAGCCCAGGAATGACCAGCCAGAGCCTGAAAGGCTCTCAGAGGAGCAGAGGGATAAAATGCATGTTAATGTTCCTGTTTGCCATGCTGAGGGTGAGCCTGAGAGCTGTTCTGCAGGTCCTTAATGATGTGAGGTGCCTCACGGGATCCTGCCCTTCTCAAAAGCACAACACTGCACACTTTCACCTAGGTAGCTGTAAAAAAAGTGAATTTCCACTAGTGTCCCTGGGGTTGCAGGTCAGGAGATGAGAGCAGACCTACCAGGCCCCTGTTCCTGGGCATCACCTGCCCTCCCAAGCAGATTCCCTCTTTCCCAGGTGGTGCCAGCCCGTGCCACACATTATTTTGACATCCAGCTCGGGACGCGGGGCTGAGCAGAGGGAACAGCACTGAGAGCTTCCACTCTGGGGCTTCTCCTTTTGTTCGGGAGCATTTGAAGTCCCTCCTCCGTCCCCTTTTGCATCACTGCTGGCATCAGCGGGATGGCGCCGGGGGCAGAGAGGGACAGCGGCGGGGCGGCCACCGTGCGAACCAGAACACAGAGTTTTAGCCCCGGGGGTGATGTCCTGGGGGCACCCGCGACCTCTCCCCCTCCTCCCTGGGTGAGCAAGGGGTGATCCCGGCCCCGGGGGATGCCACACGGGGCCAGCACAGCCCCGCGCAGCCCGCGGAGAGAAACCCGACACTGCCAGACACTCCCTTGGAATAGCCAGGGGCCGAGCAGGAACCAGGAAATACAAGCTCTGCCCGTCCAGAGAACGCTCGGGCTCCATGGGGGAAGGAGCGACATGGGCAACCTGTGCAGCTGCGGCCGCCCGTGGTGAGTGCGGCGCGGGCAGGGGCGAGGGGGGCTCGGCAGCGCTTGGAACGCTTCGAGTCCTTGTGCTGGGCTTTGCCAGGGCTGCCCCCGGCTCCCGGCGCTGCTCCCTGCTCAGCCCACCCCGGCACGGGAGGAGGGAGCGGGGGGTCACGGCTGGGTGGGGGCAGCGGGGGGCGCAGGGGCGAGAAGGGGCTTTGCTGTCACATCGCTGAGCCCCGACGGGCTGTGCCTCCTCCCCGGAGTGCCGGCTGGGGCTCCCGCAGCCCAAGGAGCGGCTGGGAATAGCGCAGCTCTAGGAAAAAGCTGCTGGGAGGGGTCCTGGGGTTCGGCCACCCCCTCCTGCTCTCAGCTGTTCCAGCCCCTCTCCCTGCCCGTCCTCTGCCCGGGCTTTATTTAAAGCTCGGGAAATCCTGGCCACGTTTTGGAGATGCTGTTGCTCTTTCTCCCTGGGAGGGAGGGAGCGAGGGTGACACTTTAATCCCTCCTGGGTCACGCCGGACCTCCCGCTCGCAGAGAAAGGGCACGGTGGAGCATCACTCGGTGCCAAGTGGAAATACTTTCGGCTCGGAGCGTGGAACAAGGGGAAGAGCCGTGAATAGCAGAATGAAGCTCCGAGGACATTTCTCTCCAACACCGCGTTTGTTAAAAAGTGTGAGCAAATTCATCCGCGGTTGTTAATAATTCCAAGCGGCACAGCATCACCTAGTGGGGAGGAAGGTTCGGGACGCCGAGGTCCTGCCAAGCCTGAGCTGGAGGGCAGAGGAGTTTGGGATTTAGGAATTAGGAGCTGGAGGTGGGAGGTGGAAGGCTGGGTCTTGATGTGTCACCCACCAGAACTCCCATTTTCTATTTCCTCTACCCTGTGCTGGAGGGTAAATGAGGCACCCAGGGCGCCAGTGAACAAGGGCCCGATCAGGAGGTGCCTGGGGCACAGTCTGAGGTCTTTAAAGAAAAGCTATTACAGCAAATTTATTCACAGAAGAGAGTTATTGATGAATATGCCCTCGGGCCTGGGTGCCTCTGCAGGCACGACCACGGGCAGGGCAGGCCCCAGGTGTTCTCACCACCCAGGGCACTGCAGTGTGCAGGGACAGGAAAATGTGCCCAAATTCAGGATTATGCAGGGCCGAAATCAGGATGGCACTGGCATGGGAAAAGGGGAGGAAGCAGTGGAGGAGCAGGGACATGCGTGCTGTCATGTAGGATGCGATGTGCTTCTCTCAGCCTGGGAGTTACAACATGTTTGACCTGGTTCTGAGAGGAGGGGAGAGGTTTCCCTGCTCCCGTTTCCCTTGCCACACATGTCCCAATTACTGGGAGATGCCGTCTCCTGCCTGGCTGTGCTTATCCTGCAGACAGCCCAGAATAGCTCCAGCCCACACACTGCCTGTAACAGCTCCCTCCACCAGGGGAGGGAGGCAACCCAAACGAGCAGCTGATCCAGCAGCCTCCCTGGCAGCCGAGGGGAGAGGGACCCTGCTGGCTCTGCCCCAGATGGGGCTGCTTTGATTGCAGCCCACAACGTGCCTGAAGGCTGCGAAGGGGGAAGGGGCTCTGCCACACAAGCCTTGCCAAGGAGGGCCCTGGAGACCCTGCAGGCAGTGGAGGAGGGAGCTGCAAGAGCCAAGGGAGAACCACTACAAGACAAATTGCACAGAATAGTCTGAGTTGGAAGGGACCCACGAGTCCAGCTCTTAAGTGAGTGGCCCAGACAGGGGTCAAACCCTCAGCCTGGGTGTTATTAGCACCGTGCTCTAACCAGCTGAGCTAATCTCGGGGTCAAAGCAGTTCTGCCGGATCCCTTCGTGCGGCCACCCTGCCTTTCCCAGAGCTGCCTCTGCCTTCCCAGCAAGCCTGGTTAATCATTACTGACCATTTTGAATGTCTCCAGGTTCTCTGCCTGCATTCAGGCTGGGTTTTTGTTTTCCCACTGGAGTGCCCAAGGCATCAGTGCACAGGCTGTCCCGCTCCCCTGCCCACCGGAGCTGGCACGGGCACAGCTCTGCCCCGGGCACTGCACTGGGGCACGACCAACTGGCGAATGCACACCACGTGGGACGTCTAATATTCCTTTGGGGACCAAAGGATTGCCCTGCAGCCCCATCCAGCAGGGGCCTGTGAGCCCCTCAGCTGCACTGTTGGTCCGTGGCCAGCACCACATGGACGTGTGTGCGCCATACAAGGGCTGGCACCTGCTCCCTGACCCCCCCAAACACTCCTGCACTGCTGACATTTCCTTCATGCATCTGTCCCACAACGTGACAGCACTCTCCCCTGCCAGCCCCAGCCTGCAGGAGCTCAGCTCTGGGCTCTGTTGTTACAGCTGGAATGGATTTGGCTCCTGTTCATCCCGTGGCTGGAATGTAACTGTGTTTGGCTCCTCTCCTCCTGGTCACACAGGTACAGCTGAGATCAGGGGTTGGCTTGGCTGATAAGTGCACAGCTTGTTTGGTTTGGTTGTGCTCTGAGTGGGAAGCTGAGAACAGGAAAACTGTCAGAAGCACTGAGTTAGCACGAGGTCTGTGCAGAGCTGCTCCTTGGGCAGGGGGGCCAAAGCCCAGGGAATGGGGGTGCCAGAGCATCTGACCCCCAGAGGAGGGTTTGTTTGGGCTGTTTGAGACCCTGTTCTTCTCTGAGACACCTCCTGGGCCCGTCTCACCCCACACACAGGTGGTACCCGGGTTTGGGTGGGTGTGTTGTGAGGGCAGGGGGCTGTCGGGGCTCACGTGTCTCTCTCTCTCTGCTTTCAGGAAATGTCCTTCCCCTTTCAAAAGAAAGAAGGAAAAGCAAGGTAAGGATGTGTGAAAATGCTTTAGAGGTGGGCTGACTGAGCCCCTGCTTGGGTGGCATCAGTCAGTGCTGGCTGGGAGGGGATCCCTGAGCTCCCCTCCCGTACTTTTTGTGCTTAACCTTCCTCAAGAGGAGCTTGGTAGAAGCAAAAGGCAACATTTCTTTGAGTCTTAAAGCCGGGGGTGTGGTGTGCCATGGGGCAGGGCAGGGACTTCAGCAGTGCCTTTAGAATATCAAAGTCTCACATCAAAACACAGGCAAGTGCTCTCAACTGGCAGCATCAAGCCCCTGTAAGAGCTGCAAACATCTGCCTGACAACAGTCCCCCAGAATAAAGTGCATTCTTTATAAGTATCTCAGTTGTGTCCTGTGGCCTTTGGGCCATGCTGGGCAAAACATGTTTGCCAGGCAGCAAAGGAAATAACAAAGTTAAAACTGGATCTGGCTTCTCCAAGGGCCTGACAAGGAGGCTCTCTGTGCTGTGTCTGTACTCCTGGCTCCTGCCAAGAACACTGTGGTCCACAGCATGTTGTCATCCTGGGAAACCTTATTTTTCCCAAAGAAACAAGGCCAGGCTTTCTTCTCAGGGACAGCATCAGGGCCGAGGGTGGCAGATGAGGAGGAAATCTGATTTGTACCCAGTGGGGAACCCAAAGGTGGAACAACAAACAGCTCTTAACCTGGTTTGCTGCTGTTTCCCTTGCAGGAACTAATGTGAGGCATGAGAGTCGACAGCAGCAGCCTGGCAGGAAGGTAAACAGCTTCCCAGAGCCTCTTCCCTGGCTGTGCAGGGAGAGGACAGAGCTGGCCACCACCTCCTGGGCTGGCTGGGTTGGGAGGACACGGGGCAGCTTGTCCAGAGCCAGGAGCCCTCTCACCCTATGTAGGCTGCCCTGGCTGTGGGAACAGTGTGCAGGGCACTGTTTTCCCGGTGGAAGCAGCAGGATGAAACCCCTGAGGTGTCAGAGGGCTGGCTGGGGCTGGGGCTGGGGCTGGGGGAGGCAGGGGCAGCAGCAGCAGCCCTGAGGGAGCTGAGTTTCCAGAGCTTTCCCTCCCCAAAGGTCCCCACGTACGAAGATGTCCCCGATGTCCCTGTGTACGCCACGGTGAGCAAAGCCCAGGGGGTGCAGCAGGACGAGAGCATCCACTATGCAGACATCCAGGTGTTCTCCAAGGCCCGGGAGCGCTCGGCGGCCGAGGTGAAGAACCTGCAGCTGCAGAACGCCACGGAATATGCCACCCTCAACTTCCCCAGGGCCAGGCTCAAGTACGACAGCAAGAACGGCACCCTGGTGTAAGAGACTCGGTGGCTCCTCCTCCAGCAGCAAAAGGAGTTCTCAGACTCAGAGATGCTGTAGATCCAGGAGAACCTCGTGGACACACCGTGACTCTCTGGGGAAGTGCCTCCCACCACAGACATCCTCTCAGCATGAGTGCTTCCCCCATCTGATTCTGCTGACAAAAAACAACACCTCCTCCCCTTGGAAGGCTCGCCTCTGAAGCTGGAAAGCCACCCCCTGGCAGCACTGGGAGGGGGCAGAGCTGCTCCTTGGCTGGTGAAGGCTCAGAGCTGCGGGGAGGAGGTCCCTGCTGTGGCTCAGGACCAGCTGGGGCTGGGAACATGGCACCCAGGATTCAGGGCTGGGACGAGGGGAGGGCTCGACACAGGGCTTTGTGTCAACGTTCAGGATACCCTGAACGTGCAGGACTGACACGGGGATGATGCTGTGAAGAAATGAAACCTTCAACAGCATCTGCTGCAGTGCCTTCCCCCAACGCCTGCCAGAGCTGCAGCCATGCACTGTGTGAGTGCCCTTCTCCCAGAAGGCAGTGTTCTGTAGCCATGCACAGCGCTGGAAAAGCAAGCCAGGAAGGCAGAATTAACGAGGGGTGCAGGACAATTCCTTTCCCTGGTGGGCTGTGCGTCTGTAGCCCTCCCTGCACACGAGTGGGAACTGAGCTCCCGGCTCTGACTGGGAGTGACACAAGGAAAATTGCTGAGGCAGCCCTAGATTTAGGGCAGCTATCCAGTCCCCAGAGTCCAGCAGCTGTCTGCATGCCTGAGATACTGGGAGGAATCCTGGGCAGCCTTAGAGAGGACTCTGGACTTTGCCTCCGTTTTTTTCTCGTTTTGTGCTGTCAGCCTTAGTTATAAAGCCCAGGAACACACCACGAGGTGTTACCTGCTAACCCTCCCAGACACACCTCTGTGCCTGTTCAGGGATTTAAAATAGTGTTAATAATGCAGCACAGCAGTTTGTCCAGAAGGCTCCTGCCACTGCCCTGGATTTGGCAGTCACATTGTTTAGTCCTGTTGGTCTGTGCAGTGAACGAGTGGGAGCTCAGCCGTGTTTTAGTGAGAGCCTGAGCCCTGGAATCTCCCATTCCCTGAGGAGCTCCAGGTTGATTCTGGAAGTGCAGCGCATCTGGGAGACAATCCCATTCTCTCCCCACCACACCAGGAGTGGTGATTTTTGCCTGCTTTTCCAGGCTCCCGGCAGAGAAACGTGAAAGCCCCGTGTTCTGCAAGGCGGATCTTTGCTAAAGGGCTCGCTTCGGCACTTTTTGAACGTTAAAATCCCCCCAACGTTGTTATCTCGTGTGCTTCCCGCGGGTGTCCCGCGTGGGCGCTGATGCTGATGCAGCATTAAAGACGGAATGTTTCGTGTTAAGCGATAAAACCCCCGCGCTCTGGGGGAGGCTCCACCGCACACGGGGGATGCGGTGCCGGGTTTGGGGTCTCCACTCGTCTCAGTCCGGCTCCCGGCTGGCCCCGTTCTCGAGTCCCCCTTCCCGGCCCCTGTCCCGGCTGCGGGCGGAGCCAGGGACATCCCATCCCGCCCCATCCCGCCCCATCCCGCCCCTGTCCCCACGGCAACCGGAGACGCGCACCGGGAGCAGGTACGGCCGGGAGGGAGCGGGTCTGGTACCCAGCGCACCTCAGCCCTGCTCATCGCACCCCATCCCACCCCCCTGCACCCCGCGGGGTCCCCGCTGCCCCCCGTGCCGCTGGTTCTCCCTGTCTCCTCCCTCCCCAGCAGCCCCTCAGCCCCCCCTGCTCCCGGGGAGCTCCCCCCGCTCCCCTCACCCCATTTCCCGGCTCCCCCAGCCAGCCCCGCTGCTCCCGGGGCTCCCCCTGCTCCACGCACCCATCCCACCCCACTCCCACGGGCACCTGGGCCCACACACCCCTGTGAGGGCTGAACGAGCCCCCAAAAATACCTCTGTCACCCCACTCCCCTCGGGACTTCCGATGGAAGGCCAAGCAAATAGAGATCGCTGGAAAATAAATTACTGGAAAGCCTCGGCAGGTGGAATTTTTTTTTTTCCCCTGAAACTATTTATGAATATGTGCTGTCTGGGCTAAATGCCCTGAATGAAAGGATGCCCTGAATATTTAACAGTAGGGACAGCTTTGACTGGCAGATTTGACTTCCACTGAACTCGGATTCCCCCTCCAGAGATGGCAAGAGATGATTAAAGCCTGTGTGCAGTGTGAGACAATAGAATCAGCAGTGTTTTTTCCCCTGTGTTTTAGAGGAATTCTGTCCACCAGACATACTTTACACGGGGAAGAAAATGCAAAAAAGTGTAAATGGCCCTAAGGCTGCAGCCCTTGGAAGTGTTTTCTGCAGGAAATGAAAAAAATGGGCAACTTTCCTACTTTGTTTTAATTATATTCAGACTTTTTTTTTTTTTTTTTTTGGTCTACTCTCCCTCTGAGAAAATTTTTTTGGCTTTTTATTTAATATATTTGCTTTTCCCCTCAGGCTTCAAGGAGTGCTGGTGCCTTCCCCTTGGGGCTGAGCCGAGCATGGGAACTCTGATGGACACGGTGCCCTGTGCCCTGTCACCTCCTGCACCCTCTGTGAGTCCCCAGGAGCCCTTTCCGTGTGTCACCTCCCTTTTGGGGGCTTGCTGGGCAGTTTGGGAGGGGACACAAAGCTGCACATTTTGGTTATTCAGATGAATTCCTGCCTCGGCCTCACTTGCTTCTATCTCCCCAACCAACACTTCATCAGCAAGAGCTGAGCTGGGCAAGGACGAGGGTTGGGGACGTGCTGGCAGTGGCCAGGAGGTGGCAATGCCACCAACCAAACGGCCACGCTGTGGGCTTGGTTTGAAGGTCACTCACAGCACGAACACCTCGTGTGAACGCCCTTTTGGCATCGCTGCCCCCTGCCCTTCGTTTTGGAATTTCCCCCTTCCCCGAGGGAAAACCCGGGGAGAATTCTGGAGCATCATTTCAGTGAGAGGCTGTTTTCACCTGCTTATTGCACTTTATGATGCTGTAAAACTGACAAAAATCCCCACGGTTTCTGCTCCAAGAAGCTTGAAATTCCAGAGTGAATTCCCATTGTCAGACCCAGGCAGTTCTTTCAGGGATGAGAAACCCCATGCAGAAGCAAATCTCTGATGCCTGGCACATACAAAGAGAGCACTTTGCTGTGTTGTACATGTACTATGTAGCCCTGAAAAACAGATCATAAATATATATAAATATATAGTTACAATAAACACAATGTATAAATATTATAAATATAAATATATCAGTATTATAAACAAATATAATGTAATAAGTAAATATATATATCATAAATTATGAGCCAACAAGAGCATTACAAACTCCACAGAAAAGGCTCTGTCGGTTTTTTGCTTCCAAAATTAGGTCACTTTCTGTCTGATGGGGGAAAACCACTTAGTTTTTCCAGAATATATTAGTGACATTGCAAAGGCACGAGCTGCTTGATTGCACCACGGAGAGATGGGGATAAACATTTACTGCTGTCCATTTAATGGCATTCTGAGGCTCCAAAGCAAACTGGATCAAGGTACCAACCCCCAGCATTCCCAGCTTACAAGGTTTTATGCAAAGCCTCCCAGTAATCTGTTGTTTTGCTTAACAGATGTGGTATTGCAATCGATGAAAACGTAAAAAATCTCGATGCTCAGTGAATTATCAGCGGTAGGGAGAGCAAATGTGAATAATTTAAAGCTCGTATGTCATGGAGGGGTGTGTGTGTTGGGGGGTGACTCCTTCTGGAACGACTTGGGTTGGTTGCAGAGGGAAATTACCTGTTGCTTGCCCTGCTGTGTTTCAGCTGCTCCTCCCTGTGTGACAGGGGGGGAAATGGTGAAATTACCCTTTTTCCTCCTGATTCTTCAACACTTAGGCAGAAAAAAACCCATGTTTTTAAGCTTAGAAATGCTTGGCCAGGTGGTTTTGGGCCCTGGGGGCACGGGGCAGTCCCTGGAGGGTTTTCACCCACTCTGACAGGGGATTTATTTTCCCTTCTTTTTTTCCTTTTCCCCTGGGCATTTCCTGTAAGGTGATGCGAGCCTGGAGAGACATCTGATACCTGGGCTGAGTGCACTTATTGATTTAGAACCCTGGCGGGGCTTTCATTTAATTGCATTTCGCTTCAGTCTGAGCGTTTTTCTCCCGTTCCCTCTTTGCGGTTTGGTTTTTTTTTTCTCCACGACCGTTTCAAGGTCCGAACGGGCGAGCGCTGTGAATGCTGGAGCCCCGCCGGTTCTTGGTGGGCTGCAGAACCCATTCCTTTCGCTTTCCTGGCTGCCCCAGCCATCCACCCTCCCTCCCTCCCTCCCTCCCTCTGCGCCCTCGCGCAGGGCTCGCTAAAACCTCATTTTTTTTTAATTATTTTTTTTTTTTTTACGTGCGGCTGGAAATGGGTTTCAGATGTTTCCCCCTTCCTCCCACCACCACCACCACCACCACCACCCCGAGCTCAAGTCCTGCATCTCGCAGGCGGAGGCGTTTCCATGGGAACGCTGTGACATCCCTCCCTCCCTCCCTCCTCCTTCCCTCCCTCCTTCCCTCCCTCATCCCTCCCTCCCTTCCCGGGCATGCCCACTGCGAGCCCTGACTTTGGCTCAACTCTCGCCGAGCCCCGAGCCCTGCACATATGGGACGATGAGAGCGGTCCCCCATGAGCTCCGAGCCTTTGTCTCTGCGAGGAGAAGGAGGAGGAGGAGGCGCCCGGAGCTGCCCCGCGTCCCCTGAGAGCCTCGCCCGCCCGCGGGCTCCCGCAGGACGATGCTCGCCTGCCTGGCCAGGGGCAGTTTGCTGGATATTCTGCAGGAGGGCTTCACAGAGGTAAAAAAAAAAAAAAAAGAAGTATCCAGGTCCCCCAAACCTCGCTTCCCCGCGTGTTTTTTCGCAGGGATTGTCGCGCTCCGAGGGAGCGGAGGAGAAGGGGGACAAGGAGTGGAAATTCTGCTGAGTGGAGGCAGCACTCAGTCCTGCTCTGAGCCGCGGCCGGGGCGGATGATTCGAATTCAATTCGCCCATAGGGCTGTTTGGGTTTTGTTTGTTGGTTGGTTGGTTGGTTGGTTTTTATTTTTGAGCGGTTTGTGGCTGTTTTCCATCTGGTGCTTTTAGCTCGGAGTTTTTATTCCCTCCCCGGTTGCTTCACTGTGGTACCAGTAAATAATACAAACTGCGGGAGGCTGCGGGTTGGTTTGCTGTGTGGAGCTGACTCCTCTCCCGATGTCTGAAGGTTGTAAATCCGCTTCGTGGACTCACATTTCTTGGGAGAGGCTGACAAAGAGCAGGCTGGCTCTTTGGTGTGGTTTTTTTCTCCCCCCATCTTTTGCTGTAAGCTGAACCTCCACGGGACTGAAATTCAGCTTGGTCGGGAAAATGTAATTTTAAAAGTGTTTCTTTATTTGCTTATTCTGCCGTTAGGAGGGTAATAAATCATAAAATAGGGAGAAGCAGCAATTCCAGAGGTGGGAATCCTGTGGCTGTAGTGGGGGGGGTGTGCAGTGTGATTTCCCTCCTTGGGGTGCACAAAGAATTGGGGTCTTTATGGACTCAGCACAAAATACCAGGGCAGAACACGCTGAAAAGATGAAAAGGGAGAAAAATTGTGGGGGCTTTTGCTGGAACCAAAGGGTGGCTGCTGTTTGCCTCCTCACTTGGGAGCAGGGACAGTCTCTTGGGGTGTTTTTCTCAGAGCACACAGAGTTTTGTTTGGTGTTCGGTGATTCCTCCTCCCTGCAGAGCTCACGGGGCACGAACATCCCTGCTGGGCTCCACGGGGAAAACAGAATCGGGGGGGAAACTTGAGCCTCTGAGCTCGGCCCGGGGTCTCCTTTGATCGCCCAGGGTAGCTGGAAATGCTCCATCCCCTCCTCCACAGAGCATCCGTCTCACTCCCAGCCAGCAAAGGTCTTGCTTTAGCTCAGGCTCACACTTCCTGTGCTTGAGGGCAGCAGATGCTTCTCAGGCATAAACTGATAGTGCCCTGTGTACTAAGAATATAATTGACGTGATATAATTAATGAAGGGGACACGGAACGGCGGCGTTCAGTGCTGGCCCCACCCCGGCTGGCTGGTTTTTACCCAGCTGGGGAGAAAACCGCCCCTCTCCCACCGTGAAAAGAGATTCAGCCTGGTGTGTCCCACCCTCTGCCACAGCACAGGCTGCAGCCTGTAACAAAAGTTGCCTTCACCCCACAGATGAGCTGCTCAGCAAGCTCCTGGGGGTTGCAGAGCTCAGGTGCATCCCTACACGTGCCAGGCATGGTCCTGTTTTCTCCGGGGGTATTGACTGTGTGTCTCCATCTCACCAGTTTTGGTCAATAATCCGCGCCTGGGAGGTTTCCCAGGACGCCACAGGCGAGTTCCTTTTGTTCTTTGCACTGTTTCCCCCCTTTCTGTCCATCCTCCTGAGCGAGAGCCACCCCAGGCAGCCCAATTACCTCGTAATTAGGGCTGGAGAATGCCCTGTGCTCGTCCCCTCTGCAGCCCAGGCCTGTTCTGCTCCACAGGCCATGTGGCACTGATGTTTTCTCCAGTCACAGCTTGTAAAGGGGGCCCTGCAAGCTGCAATCTCAGTGTGCCCCCCTCCCTGAGCCCCTGGCCAAAACACCCCCTGGGCCCTGTCACCTGCAGCACCCAAACGGGGGGCTTGGTTTGATGTTGAAATGAAGCCCCCCTGGGCATCACTCCCCGGCTCATTAAGGGGCTGCCCTGCCTGTCCCTGCTGTTCAGCAGGCTCTCACCCTGCTCTGAGGCAGATAAATAATTCAGTGCCACAGCTGGATGGTGCCACGGGGCCGTGTGGCTGCTAAAAGCAGCAGTTTGTAATGAAAGGAACCACAGAGAGCGGGGTCTCCTCTGTAGAGACTCTGGCCATGTGGCCTCAGCCTGTTCTCCCTCCTCATGGAAATGCAATTTATTTGAGGTACGTGTTGACACTTCTGCTGCCAGTTCCCTAAAACAGATGGGGCACAGAGGACTGTGCCAGAAACTGCCCTGACAGCTCCAAGGCATCACTGAGCCTGCATTTTAACAATAACATACCTTCTCCTTTTCGAGTTGGAAGATCATTTCCTCCTGCAGATTTAATTATGTGGTTGCTTGTGTGTAGTGAGTACTTTAAAAATAGATATTTGCACCCACCCCTCCCCCAGAGATTACGCTGAACAAACAATCCACTCCAGAGAGGATGTGCTGGCAGGGAATTTTCAAGAGCCCAGGCAGAGGTTTGATTTGAAATCAGGGTCTCCAAACAGCAGCAAAGTGAAGTTCAGGGTTGCCAGCCAAGGCTCTGCCTGGAAGTGGAAATACCTACCCGTTTCTAGGTGAGAGCTGCTGCTCCCCAGGAAGTGCTGCAGGGCAGGCAGGGCCGTGTTCTCTCGCCTGTTCTCACCAGACAGCCCCTCACCAAGTGCTTCATGGAGTATTCTCCATCAAATAATGGGTTCTTCCTCTCTGAGTGGCTGCAGGGGCAATTCCTGATTTCCCACATGTACAGTCTCTCCCCTTCACTCTCCAAGGTTTGCTCTACCCTTTGGGGGATGTGATGAGAATGAGATGCCACCCTGCCTCCTTGCCCTGGGTTTGGTTTTGGTTTGTTTCTCTGGCTGGAGTTGTTTTCTGGCAGTGAGGACTTGCTGCTGGCCTGGCCCTGGCAGCCCTCCTGTTCCCCTGATCTGTGATAAAAAGGGCTCTGCTGCTGCCGTGAGCCCAGCACCAGCAACTTGCAGCAGCCCTGTCCGTGCAGGGAGTGCTATTTCTGGCTAATAGGATTCACCAGGGAGAGCTGTTTTGACTTCTGGCTCCCTCATCCCGTTCAGCCCTTCAGGACCAGCCCATAACTGAACACTCCCCGTGGCAGTGAGTCCCCCAAAACACACGAAGCCCTTTGGAGAAGCTGCTGTTTTTGCACAGCAGGGCCAACCAAGCCTCATCTCACATCAGCTCGGTGTTGCCGTGACTGGGCAGGGTTTTCACACCTCGGGGTTTCACACCTCGGGGTTTCACAGCCTCTCTGCACTGCTGAAGCCACAGGATGGTCAGGCTGCAAAAGCTGGGTCTGAAGAACCATCTGAACCTTTGCAGGTTGTCTGTTGGGCTGTAATTCTGCTAAGCCTTGACCAGAGGCATCAGAGAGCACAGCTGGGGCTGCCCACTCCTGCATTCACACACAGATGTGCTCCAGCAGGCGTTTTTTTTTGGCTCCAGCAGGAATTCTCAGCAAGTTTTCCCCCCCAGCCTTGTGGCTGGCCAGCTAGGGAAGGATGTATTTGCTGTTCTATAGGATTAGGGGTGGAGCAGTTGGGATTCAATCCCTGCCTGAGGTCCCCTGTATGTGAAAGCCAGGCTATTACTTGGCCTTCCCTTGGCAGGGTGTATTCCAGAGCATCTGCACAGTCACACCCACAGATTTCTTACTGTCAAACCATTTTGCAAGGAACATAAAGATTGCTACAGCTGCTCTCTGGATGGAAACTGAGGCTGCCACGCTCACAGCAAGTCGCTGGCAGAGGGAAGAAAAGAGCCTGTGTCCTAAACGTGCCTTTTAGTGCCCTTCAGGGAGCCTCAAGGGGTGTCCCTTCCCCTCTCCTTCAGCTGGAAGGTCCTTTCCTGCAGGAATCCCTGAGCAGTCAGTCCCACCCTGTGCTCAGCCCCTCACAGGGCTGCCTCTCCCTGCCTGCTCAGGGCTGGGGATGCATCCTGCTGGAGAAGGAACAATGCTCCTTTTCTTTCCCAGGGCATCAGGGGATGTCTCAGTGCAGCTTGTTTTGACAGACCTTGGCCTCTATTTGGGTGTAGTGGAACCATTTGATAACTCAGGGTGAATCATGTGCTCCCAAGCCCTGGCAGTTCACAGTCAGAGCTCCCCTGTGGCTCAGCTTTTTGCCAGTATTTGCCTGTATTTTTGCCTGTGTGCTGGCACACAGATCCTGCCTGGGTGGGAGAAGGGCCTCAAATACCCACTGAGCAGAACCCCTTCAGATCTGAGTGGTGCTGCTGGTCCAGGGTCTTACATTTGCAGCACCAAGCTCTTTCACAACACGAAATTAATGAAGTGCCACTGTGTTTAGGCCCAGGTAGGAATGACTTCATCCTGTCCTGGAAGCTGGATGCCTCTGGAATGGAGCATGGCTGCTGTTGGCTTTACAAGAGGTGAAAATCCAGGTGGTAGAAATAATTTAGGGAGCTGGAATGGAACTGAGCCTGTTAATGGGTAAAGAACTGTGGAACACGTGGAAAACTTGGCAGTCAGAAATTCCCTGTCCTGCTGGGCAGCTGGGAACGAACAACTTCTGCTTTCAAGCAAGAGTTTTCTGGAAGAGGAGCCCTGTGGGTGCTGCTGGTTGTCCTGGCATCACCCTGGTCATAACTGGGTGGGTGTTACTGTTGGCCCATCAGGAGCTGCCTCAACGCGTTGAACAGCCTGAGTCACATTGAGGCAGCAATTTTGAGGGGGGAAAAAAAAATAAAGAAACCTTCTGCTGGCTTTGAGAGCAGGGAGGAACGTTCTCTTTGCTCGTGAGTTTTTGTTCTCTTGCTTCTGCAAAGGCCTCCCCAAACAATGACAAAAATAATCGCGGAACCGGAGGAATGGCGGGTGGAAAATTACAGCTCCCATCTAATTAAGGTAATGCCAGAAAGCTCAGAAATCACACAAGGCCTTGGACAGCACGTCCTGATGCAATTAGGCTGCTGCAGACGCTTGGTCCAGTGCTCTGAGCAGAGGGAACACTGACAGCCTTTCATGCTGGGACCAGCCCCGTGGCACGAGGGCTGTTCTTGCTGACCTTGTGAGACCTGGGGCTGGGGCACTGCCCATGGCAGGGGATAAAGGAGAAGCACAGATCCTGAGAAATGTTATTCCAGCAGGATTATTCCCCAGATTTGGTGATAAGGAGAGATTCAAATTCATCACATCAATGTAGAGGAGTAATCTGTGTCCAGAGGCAGAGAGTGTTCTAGGGGTCTAGTGAGATGGCAGCAGGGAGGCCAAGCCACTGGGAGGCTGAAGAATGATTTTATCCATGGACAAAGGCTTGCCCAACATCAACAGGTGCAATACCTTCATCCCAGAGAGGTGAAAATGAACCTTATCCCCTGGCTGTGAACTGGGAGCACAGAGATGTTTGCTCCTGACCTCCAAGGGCTGTGTTCCTGTAGCCAGGAGGGCTGAACCACTTCAGGGTGGTGCTCAGAGCAAAAGAGATCCAAAGTGGCAAGGTACAGGTAAATGTGGCTTTTTTTGGAACACAAAGCTGTGTTAATGTAAACAGGATTAAGGTTAACTCCCCCATAATCCTAATAACGTGTGTTCTGTATGGTAAACTTTACACTAGGCTGGTTTTCCTCTGGAAAATTCTGGTTTTGAGAGAAATGCCAGTGAGGAGTAGGGCAGTGTGAGCCCTGGCAAGTGTGAGATCTGACTGAGCAGGAGTGCAGGCAGAAGTGGACACAACCTTGGCACGGGAAAGGAGGAACACTTTTGGGGTGTGTTATCCACCTCCTTATTTGCTCCCAACCTTTTTTTTTTAAGGGCTCTGATTCCTTGAGCTGGAGCTGTGGCTGTGCTTGTGTTGAAGGCATGACCCTCAGTGTCACCACCCAGCTGATGGGGAGGCCACAGAGGAGGGTGAAGCAAAAGCATTTTTGACTCTTCAGCTTAAAAACTGCCACTGGGGTTTCTGCTGAGCAGCTTGGGGGGGCCTTTGCCCCTTCGTGCATTTAACAGCACCTTTTAGGTCACTAAAATTTGATGTCTCTTATTTTCTGGGGAAGTTCAGTCACGTGCTCACCTCAGCTGCCAGAAGTGCTCCCTGGATTTTTTCAGCTCTGCAGCAATCCAAGCCTCTTGCTAAAGTCATTGGAGCTTTTAGGCTTTGGATGCAAGACTAGGAAATGCTGATCAGTCCAACTGTCTGAACTTCTGCAGGAAAATCTTGTGCTTTAATGGAAAAATCCCCAAACCAACCAACCAAAACAACAGAGTCAGTCTGTTAATGAAGTGTAAGTCTGCAGAGTCCCAGCAGTCACTGGTATGAAATTACTTTGTACTGGTGACTTTCATATTCCATTGCCTCAAAAGCCTCCTTTTAATACTCAGAGTTTAAAATGTAAATGCCCTGGGATTTAGGAATGACTTTTTTTCTTATAATAACAATGACAACCTCTTCGTGCTTTTAAGAGACAGACACTGAAAGCTTGCCAAAAACGCTTCCTTATGAATGCATGAAGAATGCTCTGAGAAAAGGAACAGAAAACAAACTGCCTAGTGAAAGGGTCTTTTTTTTTCCCTTTAAATGAGGCAGGAGTGTCTGAGTGGAAGAGCCATAAAGAATCCTGCAAATCCTGCCGATGTTCTGTGGGCTGGGATGGGGCTGTGTCCTCGTGGAATTAGTGCCAGTTTGTAAAATGGTTTGGAAAAGCAGAAAACAAAAGACCTGTGCTGTCTGCTCCAGCAAACCTGCCTCAGATCTGCTGCCTTTTCCCCCCAAAAGCCACCAGGCTGCCCCCAGCCCATGTCCCCTCCCAGCTCTGCAGCCCTGCTGAGTGAGCAGAACTCACTGAACGCAGGTCCAGGCACCTTTCTGAGCCAGCAGAGCGAGCCATGTGGGATTAAAGCTGGATTTCCTATGTCAGGATAATTAAGAGTGAAGCTGTGACCAGATTGTGACTTTGATGGGCTGTAAAAGCATAAACTCTGGCATCGCTGAGATAACGTGGAAGGGGGACTTAAAACCTGCTGCATCGGCACAATAACGGGAAGCTTAGTGAAAAGAGAGGTAATCCCATCAATGGATCAGTTTGTTTACCCTCCATGTCCCACTCCAGCCCTGCCCAGAGGGATTTCGGTGTCACCAGCAGCCCTGCTCGCCGTGGAAGGGTCACAGAGGGTGGGGTGGAAAGGGAAAGGTCATTTCAATCCTCTCTGTGCCTCGTGGTCAGTTGTGCCAGATGGGGGTTTGTGCTGGCCAGGAACCTGAGCTGGCTTCCCTGGCAGCACCCAGAGCCACGGGAAGGGGCACCCAGGGCACCCTCCTGGGAGTGCTGTGGAGGGAGAGTGCTGGCCCTTCCAGGAGATCCATCCTGGTTGTCCTGGCAGAGTTCAGGTGGGGGATTGCTCCTTGCTCCTGCACTGTGGGGTTTCTGCTTTCCTGGTAAGTGGATGAGAGCAGCCTGGATGGCGCAGTGAGCGCTGTGGGTGAGCGAACTGTGGCACCACAAAGGAGGGGACGACACCATCAAAGGACAGAACAAGCTCTTCCCTCAGCCCAGGAGTCCTGACCTGCTCTCTGCGTGTTCTCCCTGTCCTGGGGTGGGCTGAGCTGCCCCCCCAGCACGCAGTGATGTCACTCAGTGCCCAGCAGAGACCTTTGGTGTTCATTCCCGAGGGCAGAAGCCCGAGATCCGTGGAGATGAAAGGGAGAATTGAGGGCTGTGTGACTTGCCCTGAAACGGCCGTGACGTGCAGGCGTTTCTGCTTTCTATTTTCAGCAACAGCTCCAGGCATATGTGGCCTGGGTGAATTCCCAGCTGAAGAAGAAGCCAGCAGTAAAGCCAGTGCAGGACCTGAGACAGGATCTGCGGGATGGAGTCACCCTGGCTCTGCTCATTGAGATTGTAGGTCAGTGATGCCATCTGGCACTGTTTTTCATCCTGCAGTTGTGGCTCTGGTGGGGAAGGGGCTGCCTTGGCCCTGGCAGCTGTCAGGAACCCTGGCAGATGTTGCTGATGGTGTCAGAGCTTGAGGGGCTGTGGGGGAGGGACTTCCAAAGGAAACAGTCATGGAGCAGATCATAAGTGCAGTTCCATCCAGCCCTCGTGTTTTAGGGGCAGTTACAACAGATGTGCTGAAACCTGTCAGGCAATACGAACTCCCACCTTAAAATAAACCCAGTACAGTCTCCAGCCCCATTATCCCTGGCACTGGGTACCCTGTAAGCAGGACAAGAAGCCACATGTGCCTCCTGCAGTCCCCAGACAGGAGATCACATCAGTCCCTGCACCCACAGCTGCTCCTCTGAGGGTACCAAGCGCTTCAGTTCCCCTCTGAAAAAGCTTTTTCCCCTCCTTCAGCTGGTGAGAAGCTCAGTGGCATTGAGGCCAACCCCACCAGCCAGCAGCAGATGAGGGAAAATGTGGAGAAAGTCCTACAGTTTGTGGCATCCAAGAAGATCCGCATGCACCAGACATCAGCTAAAGGTACCCGGCCCTGGGGGTGGCACAGGGGGGTTGTAGCTGCTGAGAGCTTGTTTCTCTCTTTGTTTTATGTCAAACTGATAATGTATTAGTGGATTCATGTATTAGTTTGTGGGGGAGTTTTGGGGTTTTGTCCCCTGTGGTGCAGTGGAGGTTTTGGGTTGGAGGACAGTGGTAGCAGCGCAGTGCACTGGAAAGAAAAAGAGTGCCTTTTGTCCTGCTACTGAGCACTCAGAAGCTCAGATATTGGTGCAACGAGGAATACAGACCCAGAAATCTTTTCACTACGAGGACTTGTAAACCTGCTCTTCTATGGGAACATGATTCTGGTTCACTGGAAGCCCAGGGCACTGCTCTCACTCCTCCTGTGAATCAGGAGGAGACCCAATGCACAGTCACATGGCTGTGGCTTGGTTTGGTCAGGGCTCTGTGTACCTCAGTTGACTACACTGTTTTGGAAAACCTTAGTCTGGAAGAGTGGCTGAGCTCTGCCACGACATCTGAGCTGGTTTGTAGGCTGGGGGAGTGCCTGGTGTGGTGCCATTAAAACAATTAACATCTGCAAGGTGCTGCCACCAAAGAAACACGCTGCTGCTCTCTGGTCCTGTGTGTTCTAAAGGAAGGAAACTCTTGAGAGCTGGCAGAAGTCACTGCTGGGGCGGTGGTGAGGCTGCAGCACCCGCTGTGCTTCTCCAGTGAGCGCTCAGGAATTCTGAGCTGCCTCATCAGCTGGAAATGGCCACGCAGGGAGGGCTCAGAGCGTTAAACCTGTGCTGGGTGGGTGGCAGGGGCACTTTGCAGAGCTGGGCACCAGCGCTCCTGCAGGGTTTAGCGCTCGCTGGGGGCACCTCCTGACGCTGACCTTGGCTTCGCTTGCGTTTTTGCAGACATCGTCGACGGGAACCTGAAGTCCACCATGAGGCTGATCCTGGCCTTGGCCGCCCACTTCAAGCCGGGCTCCGGGAGGGCCGTGGGTGCCAGCGGGGCTGGCGCGGTGGGGAAGGGCTGGGCAGCGCCCCTGGGCAGCCACAGGCCCCGCTCTGCCGCTGCCATGGCCCAGGGGGCGGTGGCTGCCCTGGCCGAGGTCCGGCAGGACGTGCTGCACTCCGGCCGGGACGTGTTCCGCCACAGGCACCGGTGAGGAGCTGCTCCCTCCTCCTGGGGGTTACCAGCTGCGCTCAGTGCCCTTGGGAATGGGTGTCCTGACAGCCCCTGGGGCAGGGCAGCCCCTGCTGTGCAAGCTGGCACTGCTGTCCCACACCCAAACGGTGCCCTGACCCGGCCTGGCCGCCTCGGGAGGCACCGCAGGGATCCCAGGCTCTCCTCAGCTTTTACAGCAAAAGAACAGCTGGATCTCTTGTTATCTCCCCAGAAGAGAACAGTGAGTTCTGGGCAAGGCAGAGGGAACTGTGCTGCCTCGCTTTCCCGCTGAGCACAGCGCCCTTGGAGCTGTCTCTGTGGAGATATTCTCGTATTCTCCAGGGAAGTCTCAACTCCAGGTCCTGCTGGGGGATCTGGGAGCAGTTACACCCCAACCTGAGGCACTGAGAACTCTGTACAAGCCCATCCTGGCTTCTCCCCTGCTGCCCATCCCAACGTTACCCCCACTGCTCCAGCTGGATTCAGGGTGCTGTGTGCTGACTTCTGGTGATGCTGGAGGGAGGTGATCCACCTACACAGGGAATGTGCAGGTCCATTCCACATTTAACCACTTGCAAAAGGTGCTGTTGTAGGTTATTATAACCGTTATAATAATAATAATAGCAGTGACATTTAACTGGAAGCCAGATGGTCTGTTGAGGGTTCAGTTTACACAGCTGAAGGTCACCTGCCCATATGATACTGGCTCAAGGGAGTACCCGTGAGGCAGTTTGGAAACGAGGTTGAAATGGGATATTTTGTTGAAAAACTTAGAGGTTTATCTTGCAAAGGCCTTGGACCAGGAGTTCTTCAGCAAAGCCAGTCCTTGTGCTGCCTGCAGACTGCTCTTTCCTTGCCTTCCCAGAGCTTGTGTAGTTTTCTAGTTACAGAATTAGGGATGAGTTCAAAAGGGCAGGGCCTGTGTTCCCCTCACACCAAGAAGACGGGATGGGGATCCCTGACAGGAGAACTGGTGTTTTTCCTGGCTGTCCCCTCCTTCTCACCTTCCTTTCATCAGCTTTTCTACCTTCCCTCTTGGAGACAAGAAGAATTTCTGCTCCTGTTGGACAGGGCTTCCCTCACTGTGTGATTATTGCCTGCAGAAACAGCAGCATGGATGAGGAGATTGAAAATCCCTACTGGAGTGTCCGGGCACTGGTGCAGCAGTATGAGGGGCAGCAGAACGTGCCACTGGAGTCCCACTCCTCCAGGTAAGGCATTTTATTGCCAAGAGGTGTCCTTTGTGTGACATTCCCTAAAGTGCTGGTCCCTCATCACCATCATCTGGGTGTTCCTGATGGAAAGGGGCGTTCCCAGAATATTGTGTCTGCCTAACCTGCAGGATGAAGCCTCAGGAACCAAGCTGGGGGCCACGTGAAGTGGTCTGCTGCCACTGTTTTCGTGGATATAGGAGAGAGAGTGGATGTGGGAGAGCTGGAATGGCTTTCAAAGAATAAACTACTCCCATGGGGGAGCTGACCCAGCTTCAGAGCCAAGGAGAGCCCTTTTCCCCCAGAGAACGAGAAACTACTCTAAGACAAGGGGCTGTGTTACTGAACACACTGGATCTCCCTCTGGATGTGGTGCTTTGCTCCATTCAATCCCATCTGGAGCAGATGTGAGGGCAGAGCTGCAGCTCTTTGGTTCACAGTTCCCTGTCCCCAGTGGAACTCCCAACTCTTCTCTGCTGTCTCCTTCTCCTGCCTGGGTTTTCCCCTGGGTGCCTCAGCTATCCCCCTCTGGTTTGTGTGGGAGTGAGGGCTTCATTTTCCAAGGACAGATTGCTTCTGAGGGCTCCTCAGCAGGCAGGATCTCTCCACAGGGTTTTCCAGGCTGATTTTTGTTCTCCACAGTACAAATAATCCTCTGTGTTACCTGGGAATTCAGGTTGCTTGGCCCAGCAGAGGAGAAAAACCACGAGAGTTTGTGTTTATCCCCTGAATTCGTTGTGTATCACTGAGGGCATGTTTATAAATAGCCATTTGGAGGAGCGTGGGGCTCCCAGCGAGCCAGTACTGGACCAGTGCCTCCACATGATGTCAGCAGCGTGCTTTTGAGGCTGTTGTTCCAGGGGAGATGCAAAAATTCCGGGCTTGGCAGCAGGATTTGATGGCCAATGTCACAGGACCTTGGCGCTGACTCTTGAACTGGGATCTCAGTGGGGCAGGGGGTGTCACTTGGTGCTCCCTCCCCATCCTCCAGTTTAAGGGGGCTGGGGTGTTTTATCTGCTCTTCCACCACCCCCCCAGGCATTGTCAGGCAATGGTGTTGGCCCACGTGTGGCTGGGTTTTGGCTGCCAGCGAGGATTTCTCTGCACATCCCAAAAATCACGGGGGTTTATTTTTCCCCCGTCACGTCACGAATTCTCTGCCCACCAGGCAGTGGTGATGTTACTGCTGATGAGACAGAATGCAGCAGGGATCTTGACAGAAGCGATCAGTGCTTACCCAAAACTGGGAGCAGTGTTCCCTCCAGCTCCCAGGGATGTCTGTGCTGACACCAGGCTCTGCATGATGAAAACAAGATGCTTTCTGTTCCCTTCCAGGGAGAAATGCTCTGGTTTAGTTCTGAGAACTGGTTGAGAGAATCAAGATGGTCTTTGATTAGTGAGAGATGTGCTTATTAAGTGCAGCCACCCCCCTTCTCCATCTGATCCCAGGGCAGCTTCTTCCTGCATTAACTCCTCGCTCCGAGACCTCCCAGCCTCAATAACAGAATTCCCAGAGACGAACCCTCCAATAAGCGGAGGCGATCGGAAATGATTCATGGAAAATTTGCCAAAATCAGATGATTCCCAGGCTGCCGAGCCCCTCACCCAGCCACCTCCCTCTCCCCTCCCCTTCCCACCAGCATTCCCTCCCCCACCCCGAGCCGGGGAGAAAGGCTGAGGCTCGCACAGCCCGTGTGACAGCAGGAGGGAGAGGAGCTGAGGCAGCGAGGAAGGGGAAGCCTTTCCTGGGGCTGGGAAGAGCCGCCCAGCCCGCAGCCAAGGCTGGGAAGCGCCGGGAGCCCACGGCTTGCGGGACCCGCGGGAGATGCTCGGAGGCTGGAGAGGGCAGGATGGGCTGAGAAACACCCCCGGCAGCCCCGGGGAGCGAAAGGAGCGGCTGTGCGGCTGAGCGAGATGCAGCGGCGAGGGAGAATAACAACCCGAGAGGCAGAGCAGCGGCAGCCAAGCCCAGGCTGCAGAATTCCCTGACTCTGGAATCACACCCGCTCGTGGGGGCTGCGGATCTGCCGTTCCTGCCGAGACCCTGAGGGTTTTTTTTTGGGGGTGTTTTTCCTTTTTTTTTTTGGTTCCTGCCGCGATTTTTCCAGCGATCTGGCTCGCAAACCTTCCTCCAGTAGTTTGACAGGAGCTGGCGTCCTTTCCCCCCTCCTCCCCAGCGCTGGATCAGGGACAAGGCATGCCTGCATCCAGCATCCTGAGGCTCCCGGGGAAACGCGTTCTGTGAGGCGAGAGGTTAAAGTGGGATCATGGGAGGGAAGCAGGTCAAATGGTGAGCGATTGTGGCCGTCGTGGTTTCCAACAGCGGGGATGGGGCGTTTATTTAGGGGTGAGAACTCGGGGCCCTCCAGCCTTGGCCGTGCAGGCACCGGCAGCTCCGGGACCCGGGGGAGAAGGGATGTGGGTTAAGGGACCAAGTGGTAGAAGGAATAAAGTGGAACAGTTTGCATCGTGAATGTGTCTTGAACAGGTTTAACTTCCCCAGCAGTTATTTCTGCATGCTCTGGTGTGAATGGTTGTGTACTTTAAAGAGCGAGTTACAGCAGGGGGGGTTTTGTTCTTTGGTGGGTTTGACTGACACAAAACCTGTGTGTTCCCAGAATTAACTTGGTGAGGGATGGGGCAGCCTGACCTGTGCTGCTGCTTCACCTGCCGCTGGTTCTGTCACTGCTTGGCACGTTTGGGGGCTTGTTGATGCCATCTGAGCCCACTGGCCCTTCAAAACAGGAAAACTGCCTGGAAAAGGGTCTGTGGACATGGGAATGTAAAACTGTCTGTGTTGTGCAGACCTGTGGGGACTGCTTAACCCACCTGGGGTGCCTTATATTGGCTTTGGAATGTGGATCCACTGCCAAGAGAGGCAGATTTGGAAGAGGAGAGTGCTGTTTCCAGGCTCACATCCCCTCGTTTTTCATCCTCTCTAGTTCCCTGCCCTCGCCCACCCCTGTGCCAGCACCTTCTCCCCCAACAGTTGCTGGTGGTGTTTTTCTAGGGCAGCTCATCCTTTCATCTTTTTTGCATGGCTGAGAAGCAGCAGAGCCTTATCAGGGTGAGGGCACTGGAGCTTCAGCTGAGAATATTGGAGGGGGAATATTGAGAGCTGTTCCTCGAAGGAGGTGAAATCCAATCCCTCCTGGAGTTCCTGGCCCTGTTGGATCAGCTGGGCTTCCTGCCTGCACCTGTGCTGTGTGAATGCTCCATCCTCTCCTCTGAGCCTCGTTACATCATGCAAACCCCACAGAACTGCCTGGGCTTCCAAACAAGATAAAAACCCCTACAGTTTAAACCTCATAATTTTATGCTGTGCATAAAGGAGCAAGGAGCAGGAGGAGGGAGCTGGTTACAGATGTTGTATAAGGAAATACGTGTGGTGAGGGGCCGCTGTGATGGAGTTAAAATTCCTGAAGGTAAATCCCCTGAGCAAAGCCTGGACCCCTTTAACAGTCCTGCACCCACCTGAAAGGACAGGTACTGCAGCTCTTGGAGATTTCCAGGAAAAGAGGATTATTCTTTTCCTTGCATTCCTCTTGCCTTTAACGTGGGGGGAGTGTGGCCCATGAGAAGCAGGCTGCAGGTCTGTAATATAAATGAGGAGGAGGCTCCCCTGGCCGTGGGAGTGGGGCAGGCAGGAGCAACAAGTCATTTCCATCTCTATTGCAGGGCTTTTCTCCTCCTGTGGGAGCTGTGGGACACGCAGCAGCAGTGCTGGGAGGATGCAGACAGGCGAGCTGCTGAAGCCTCTTATTTTTTCTAAACCCTATTTTATTATTTCCACAGTGTTTTCTTTTTGTTCTCTTGCCCTTTTGTGTCTGTGTTGGGGTGGTGGTGGGGGGAATGAAAAATTAACTCCTGCTCACGCTCACAGGGATTAATTCCCCCAACTTTCGAGGTACATTGAATGGGTCACTGAGCTTCAGCCACCTTTTGGTGTTGTCTGGGTGATGCATTTGGGAAGAATTTCTGGAGGGGGAAAAAAAAAAAAAAGAAAAGATTGCTTGACCCCTGCCAGTCAGCTGAGATAGCTCCAGTGAAAATATGTGGGTACTTTGAAGTAGTTTTAATCTTAAGAACAGGAGCGAGTGGGATCTGACTCTGAGAAATATTTTACCCTTGGGATTTTGAGTTGAAGTGATGCTTCTGGAAGCTGGAGCAAAAGATGAAGCAAGCCAGGGTGGCTTTTTGGTCAGACTTGTGGTGTAAATTTATTTCTGAGTGAGTGTCTGGATTCTGTGGTGTCAGCCTCAGTCTCACATCCTGTTAAGGAAAATGAAGGGACACACTGTGGTTGTCACTTGGCTTGTTGTGGCACTGGCATGAAAAAAAAAATTACATGCCCGGTTTGGTTTGTGAAAGGCCCCTCCAGGATGCAGATAACTGTTGGATGAGGGTGGTGCTGACCAGCACTAAAGCAGCTGTTCCTTCTCTCCCCTGCAGCCTCACATCACCCAGCCCTGTCCACAGTGCAAAGAGTGAATCCACTGTAGCCCCCTCAGAGGAGAAGGAGAGGCTTGTGATCCTCCAGACTGAGGAAACAGAAACTAAACCAGGTACCTTGCAGATAAAGCTTTACTGGGGCTTGTCTGGGTGATAAACCTGCTGGGAAGTTCCCTGGGCTCACCTGTCTGCCATGGCCACATCCATCTCTCTCTTCCAGAGGAGACCGATTCCCATCTCCAGCCTGAGTGGCAAGCAGGGAACTCTGGCTCTTACTTGGAGAACTCATGGGAGGAGCAGCTTTTGGAACAACAGGACCACTTGGAAAAGGAGATGGAGGAAGCAAAAAAGATGATTTCAGGCTTGCAGGTAATGGATTTTCTTCCCAGCCAGTGTTCCCTTGCAGGGAGGGAGAGGGAAGGGCGTGCAGAGAGGAAGGTTCTGTGGCTGTGAAGACTGAAAATCGGTGATATTAATCAATAGTAATGGAGATGGGCTGGGGGAGGGCAGAGGGCACTGAGTGCAGGTCAGAGTGGAAGCACTGCAGGGAGTCTGAAGCAGAGCCTGTGTTTGGAAGGTGGCTGTGTCTGGCTTTTGGGTTCCCTGTCCCGTGGGGCTGTGCTGGCCCTGTGTGTGCTGTCAGTGCTGCTGGTGCTGTGCAGGGGGGTGGAGATGCCCCAGTGTTTGTTTTCCCACGTGCTGGGGGCTTTGTTAGAGCCTGAGAGAGCGGGGCAGCCCCCTGTGATTTGTGATCAGAAGTAATGCAGGGAGACAAGGGATGGCAGGAAATCAATCAAGATTCCCAGGGCTGATCAGGGGTCACAGTCCCGCATCAGTCTCCCCAGGAACGAGGCTGAACCATCATATTTGGCACACTCTCCACACAACTATTTATCTGTGGGACCCTTTGCAGTCCCTCCCTGACCCTCAGCCCAGTGTGTTTGACTCCCAGCCCCTGATCCATATGGTAAAGACGCTGAACTCTCTCAGGAATATCCCTTTTTGTTCGTGCTGGGAGCCCCAGTGGCTCTGGATTGTAAATATTTATGTGCCAGTAAACAAAGCAGAGCCTGTGTGAGAAGCACAGGCAGCTGGGTGGGCACTTTCCTCGGGGACAATGGGCAGGACACAAAAGATCATTTCCCCCTCCAAAATAAAAAAAAAAAAAACACCAACGAAAAAAACCATTCCTCGGTTCCCTGGTAAAATCTGGTTGCATTGTGTGCCCACTGGGAGCAGGGAGAGGAGGCACTGGGGGCACTGGCATGGCCTGTTCTCCAGCCCTGGGTGTTCCACAGGGAGGGGGAGCAGCTGGCACTGCTGCCCCTCCATCCCCTGGGAGCAGGGACAGGCAGCTGATGTCACCAGCCAAGAAATTGGATTTGATTAATCGATTTTCCTCCTCTTGCTCAGTACTCAAGAGCCTCCAGTTTGAGAGAGTTTTGACTGAAGTGCTGGGGATCTGACGTGGTGCTGAAACTGAGACTGACTTTCACTGCCTGGCAGTCTGAATCTGAGTTGCCCTTGTTTGGTGTCTTTCTGTGAGGGGAAGAGAAGTGGCTGGCAGACCTCTGGGAGAGCTTTCTCAGGGGGTAAACCTTCTTGTTCGTTCCTGAAAAAAAAATGTGCCCATTTCTGAGGGGGAACGAGTCAGCAGAAGTGGAAAATGAAGCTGTTTAGAGGCTGATAGGAATGACTCTTGGCCAGAGCTGCAGCTCAATCATTTTTCCTTTGAAACCTCTGAAGAGGAGAATTTTTTTTTTCTTTCTTTCCCTTTTATTTTCCCAGGCTTTGTTGCTCAATGGCTCTTTACCTGAGGACGAGCAGGAAGGGTCCTTTGAGCTCTGTGAGCGTGGGGCCTGCCCTGAAGAGCAGCTGGTGAGCACATTTCTGTACCTAAAGCTCCTGCCAGCTGCGCTGCCAGCAACAATAACGGTGATATTTTTGCCTCCAGATCATAATCCGAAGTCGCCTGGACCAGAGTGTGGAAGAAAACCAAGACCTAAAGGTTGGAGGGACAACAGGTGGAGGGGCAGAGAGGTTTTGGGCTAGAAGATCTTTGCAGACTGTCCTGTTTAATCTTTTTTTTTTGGGGGGGAAATGGGGTAATGATAGGGCAGGGTGGACAACCTGATGGATGATGTGGGGGATATGTTATGTTAGAGCTCTGGGACCGTGTCTGATGCTGGGAGAAGGATTTGGTTTTGCCCTGAAGGACGGATCTGGGGGACTAGGCAATCATTTTTTTGCTCAGAACTTCATTGGCAGGGGTTAAGGGAGCTGCTTAGCTATTTGTCACGTTTGTAAGTCATTAAAACTGCTCGTGGATCTGTGGGAAAAGGTGGGATGTGCTTTATTTTTCCTGCAGCAGGTGTCTGGAGACAGGGGACACTGGCTTTGGGGTGACAAGGTGCCATTTAATCAAATTGTGTTGCATTTTGCAGAAGGAGCTACTGAAATACAAACAAGAAGCTCGAAACCTGCAGGGGATAAAGGTGAGGAAAGGGGACACTTCAAATATGACTGGCAGAGCTTTAGAGTCTCCTGCAGCCCATGAGTGGGGCCAGCAGCAACCATCCACCTCTGAGGAGTCTCAGTGGGGAGGGAGGTGTGTTGGGGGGCTTGGAATTGGGGGATCCTGGGGTTTGTTTCTGGCCCAAGGCAGGTACAAGCAGTTGGGGTTCCTGGTTTCTGTTCTGTCTGTAGCACTGTGCTCAAATTTCCACTCTTTTTTTTCCTGTTTCTCCTAAACAAAATATGAGACCTGCCTGGTTTTCTAAGCTCTTTTTCCCCCTCTCCTGGTGCCTTGGGGTGCACACAGCAGCACTGCCCCAGTGAACTCCTTCTTGACAGCAGAGGAAAAAGAGCCCGGGGAATCCTTGCCCTCCTCAGAAACTGTTCAGTTCCTCCCTCTGGAGTTGTGAACACTGATAATCCACTCCTGAGCCAGAGGTATTTTTAGAGCTGCCTGTCATGCTGCTGGGAGGGAGCAAACAGCAGTAGCTGTCCAAGGTGGAGCTCTCGGGCCCTGAGTGAAAGGTGCAGAATTAGTCCTGACTTTGGCCCCTCCAGAGAGGATTTCACTGCACAACTAGGTCACACTGAGAGCTTAAGTGTCCCTGTGTCCCGGGCTGACATTGGCCTCCCTGTGCCCTCTGGGTGCTGCAGATGGGTGGCTGGATCAGCAGCTGAGGGCACTCCAAAGGCACAGCTGCTTCCTTCCATAGGAGCCACTTCTGGAGTGGGAAGTTCAGGCTGAGGCACAGAAACCCCTCTGTCCCAACAGCTGGGATGTTGGCAGGGCAGGCACTCTGGGGCAGGAGAGAGGCTGGAGGGCTGAGGGTGCTGTCTGTGCACCCCCTGCTCTCCTGCAGCCCTGGGTGGCCCCAGAGTGTTTTGGCCACTGTCCTGGGTCACTCCCTCCTCAGGGCAGGGTCTCTGCCCTCCCTGCCCCTTCCCACAGAGGACATCTCTCCCCAGGATGCCCTCCAGCAGAGGCTGATCCAGCAGGATGCTTCAGTCCTGCAGCTGAAGCAGGAGCTGCTGAGAGCAAACATGGACAAGGAGGAGCTGCACAACCAGAACGTGAGTCACTGCTGAGGTTATTTTAGGAGGAGGTTTGGTGGCCCTGGGCGAGCAGGGGGCATTTTGGCAGGGCATGGGCAGTGTCTGGAGAGAGGAGGACACGGGAGGGACTGTCCTGTCCAAGTGTTGCCATCCCTGGACACACCAGCTCCCTGAACTCTGCGGATATTTGGTCACCCTGTGGCACAAGGGGCAGGGATGACTGGTTAGGGAGTGCCTGTCTCACACCTGTGTGTGGTGTTTCTGCAGGTTGATCTTCAGAGGAAGCTGGAGGAGAGAAACCGGCTGCTGGCAGAGTACAAAGTAATGGAACTCTTCCTTGGAGGCTTTGGGGGCAGCATCTGGTGGCTCTTCAGTTTTGGGCTTTTTTTTTGTGTGTGTGTGTGTCACCTCTGGGAATGGCACTGCAACTTATCCACAGCAGTGATGGATGAGTATTTGTGAGGATGGTGGAGGGATCAGGTGTTCTGTGTTCTGCCCACAGGTTTTCGTTGTATATATTTTCTTTTTCCTGTGATGGCTTGATAAATGCCTGCCACTTGTACCTGCCAGGTTAGGCTGAGCCACCTGGTTGTCCACTGATCCCTCAGGAACCTGTTTTCTCTGGGAGAGCTGTCTGGCCCTGGCAGGGGCACTCTGGGCAATAACAACCCCCCAAAAAAACCCCCAAACTCTGGCACTCAGCTCTCAGATGTGGCTGGAAGGACACACACTGTGCAAGGCACCGTGCAGCTGCCACGATCCCCTGCCCTGGGGAGGTGGCTGTGGGCTCTACTCACGTGGATTCCCTTGATTAATGTGTTGCAGAAGGAGCTGTGCCAGAAGGACCGGCACCTGCAGCAGCACCAGACCAAGCTGGACGAGATGCTCAGGCAGCTGTCCGAGGCCAGCTACCAACAGGTACGGACTGGGGGGCTGCACTGGTGCCCTGGCACTCACCTGGCTGGCTCAGTGCCTGTGTTGACTCCTCTCCTCCCCTCCCAGGTGGATTTGGAGCGGGAGCTGGAGCACAAGGAGGCCCTGCTGGCTCACTGCATGAAGAGGGAGGCTGAGGAGGTGAGGGCAGCCTCGGTGGGTGGTGTTTGCACCCTGTAAATACCTGCAGAAACCCTCCACCTCATCCCACAGAGGCCTGGCTCTGCAGTCTCACTGTCAGTGCCTGAGCAAGGCAGTCAGACCCCACAGAGCACCCAGATTCCCAAAGCTGCCAGCACTGAGCACTCTGGCTCAGCTTCTCGTGTCGAAATCCCGAGGGATGAAACAGTGAGGGGAGCGCAGGGGTCGGTGGGAGCTGGAGACTCTTGGCTTCCATCTCCATCTCTGACACTGGCAAGGGGTTAATAAAGCAGGGTTGAGCTTATCTCCTCCTTTTCCTGCTGAGCCTGGTACTGAGCACTTGGCTGGGGCTTGGTGGACAGGCCAGCCCTGATACCTGACCCTGCACAGTGCCACCTGAACACTGACTATTCACCAGAGCTTGCAGAGCCCTGGGATGCAGCAGCAAGCCCTTTCCAGGCTCTACCTCCTTTTTTCCACCTGTATTTGAGGAGCCAGGTTTGTGCTCTGATCTGTGGGACCACCTGCACGTTCCTTAGGGAGTGTTTACCTGGGAGAAGGTGGGAGTTATCATCACTGACATGGAAAGCTTTCATGCCCTCTCATTTTTGGGATTTTGGGGGAGTCCTAACACTCACATTCCTCGTGGCACCTGCTTTTCCCCCTGCCCAGGTGCTGGCTTACAGCAGCCACAGTGCTCAGAGCAATGGCTTTCTCCAGACAGCAGGAAAGGGAGCCGCTCCCACGGCCCACCGAGGGGTGAGTGCAGCTCGGGGATGCATCCCTGACATCCTGGAAGCCTTTATCTTCTTAAGGCAGATTTCCCCTCGTTAAGACCCGTGGTTTTAGAAGGGCAGGAGGCAGCCTGGAGCCAGCCCTGACCCGTGTTCTCTCGGGCAGGCAAACGACCTGCAGCTGGTCCGGGATGCCCTTCGCAGCCTCAGGAACAGCTTCAGCGGCCACGACCCCCAGCACCACACCATCGACAGCCTGGAGCAGGGCATCGCCAGCCTCATGGAGCGCCTGCACCGCCTGGAGACGCAGAAGAGGCAAGAGAGAAGGGTAAAAGGCTCCCCAGGGCACCCGGGCCGTGCCCCTCGCGCGCAGCCCCGAGCTGAGCGGCCGGAGGGCTCCAGCCGGGGGTGCCACTCTGTGCCCGTTCTGGCCGTAGGTGCGGGGCAGATCGCCGGCCAGCAGAGCCACCAACGAGTGCAGAGACTCCTGGCCTCCCAAATCCAGTAGGTGCCTCGCAGCTCCTGCCCCTTCCACTGCCTAATTCCTGGCATCCCCCTGGGGATGTGCCCCCTGCACAGAGCAGCTGCCCTGCAGAGGGGAGGGCACACAGGTACAGCTCCTTGCAGAGCTCCAGCACAGTGGGAGCCTGGGTGGTTTCAGCAGCACTGCAGCATAAATAACCACAGGAGTCGCTGGGATGGGTGGGAAGAGGGATGTTATTCCAGCTTTTCCTGCTGCTCTGCACCACCTAGTGGGCACGGATTACTGCACAGTTCCCTCCTTCTTGGGTGTTTTTATTTCCTCAGTTTCGTGTCAGTAAAACAACACCAAGGCCATTGCCATTTGTGTTCTTTCCGTAGTTCCCTTCGTTTATTTTGGGATTCCCAGTTTTTTAGGAAAAACAGAGTTAGGTTGAGTACTTGAGCTGCTTGACTTGATTTGCACAACTCAAGCTGATTTTTGTATCTCTCAGAGTTGTTTTTTTTTTCCTTCCTGTTATCTTTCTTAAATTAATTATTATTATTTCAGTAGTTTCTCAAACATTTGAGTCTGTAAGGGTATGGTTTCCAAGCTGTTTCAGTTATGTTTTTATTCCTGGTTTTTCATGTCATGTCAGGGTGTTCTGTACCCTGATCTATACACCTGTTGTTCCTGTTCCTACAGCAACTCTTGTTTTCTTCTGGTTTCATGTGCTGTTTCAGTCTCACTGTGCTGTTTCTCCCTATTCCTCATTGCTTTGCTGAACAGAAATTGTAATGAGAATAATTAGAAGTGCTGGATACAATATGTGTTCATATACATATGGAGTATGTAAATTCAATATACATATTGAAGGGAAGGGAAGCAGGATACCCAGGCAGGGAGAGAAACACAAGTGAGCAAAGAAAAATCAATGCTCCACCACCCAGGATGGGAAGGGAAGGGGACAGGGGATGTTTCTCCTGGGTGGTAACGAGTTCCCTTGATGCCTTGCAGAGCTGCCTCACTCTCACAGCACCCCAGTGATGAGCACCAGTGCCTGCACCAAAGTGCTGTACTTCACCGACCGCTCCCTCACCCCCTTCATGGTCAGCATACCAAAGAGGTGAGCTGGGCCCTCAGAACACCTCCCTTGATTTTCTGGGGGTGGTCCCAGCCAGCACAGGTTTGCTGTGCATTAGCTGGACCTTTGGATTTCCTGCCGCTGGCTGGGGGAACTCCCTGGAGCGCTCCCGGAGCTGATGGGCTGGTTTTCCCTTGCAGGTTAGGGGAAGTGACCCTGAAGGATTTCAAGGCAGCTATTGATCGGGAGGGAACCCACAGGTACCACTTCAAAGCCCTGGATCCGGAGTTTGGCACAGTCAAGGAGGAGGTAAATGTGGAATTGAGCTTTTGCTGCCTTGGGCTCGGTGCCAACACACGGCCCTGGGGACTGCGGTCACCTCACCTTTAAACTGATGGAATATCAGAAGTTTCCCCCCAGGAGGCTGCAGATGAAGATCTTCTGGTGCTAAAACATGTTTCCATGCCCAGCCAGAGCAGTTCCATGACTGTGATTGCTACTGCCAGGGGGCTGCAGAGCCCCTTGGGCAAAGAGCACAGCCAGTGTGTGGCACAGCACTGTCCAGGCAAAAACCCAGACTGCACTTCTGGCCCTGCCAGGGCCTTTATAAAACCTGTTGCAATGGGAAAGCCTATATTAAAAGTACACTTTCCTACTGTCTTTTAAAGGTTTTTCAGAGAGAACTGGGTTTGTGGCATCTCTTCCTTCGTGTGCTGCATTATACAGCCCTGTTCATGCTCAGGCTGGTGTTGGTGTGGATTGGACTCATTAAAGGTTGTTGGGGCAGTTCCTGCTTCACAAATTGATTAAGACAAGTGCAAAGGGTCACCCTCCCTGGGGACAGGCAGCAGCAGCAGCTGGAGACTGTAGTCTGGATCAGAAAAGGCATATTTTCTATCTTTAGTTTACCGTTTTTTAAAAAAAAAAAAAGCTAATAACAGCAGTTAAAGAGGCCTGGTCTGTTTTTTGGTCTTTTTTACCTAAAACCTGGAAAGATGACTTTCACCTCAGCTGTGTCTGTGATCTCTGGGTTGTGAAGGGAAATCTGAGCTGGGATCTGACTCCCCTTTTTTTTTTTTTTTTTTTTTTTTTTTTTTGGTAGGTATTCCATGATGATGACATCATTCCTGGCTGGGAGGGGAAAATCGTGGCCTGGGTGGAAGAAGACCACGGGGAGAATTAATGGAGCTTCCAAGCCTTGTTGCTATGGGAACCTGCGACTGCCTGCCGAGCTCCAAGGGTGACCAGCAAGGCGGTGAGAGCTGGGAGGAAAGAGACCAACTCGAGCTGCCAAAAAAAACCCACAAACCACCCAGCCTCTCTGCAAACAACGGGTACTGCATGTGGTGTGCATGGACACTGCCCCCTGACCCGCCATGCCCAGCTGGAGGTGCTGTCCTGGGACTGGAAGGACGGGTCTGTGGGGAGGAAACACCTTTGTCCTGTCAGCGAAACCCTGGAGGCCTTAAAGATGCTCTGCCCCCTTGTCTTGCTCCCCTGCTCCTGTGACGTGTGCTGGGGGCCCACCTGGGCACTTCTGAGCCTGGTCCCTTGTGCTGATGTTACATAAATGTGCACTGATGGCAGCAAAACGGGAGTCAGAAGAAGCCGCTGGATTACGGGAGCTGAAGGCTAGGACCAGCTTTTGTCCCGGACTTGCACGTGGACTTTGTGGACATCTCCAGCCTGACAGTGCCTGTCCCGGGGAGGGAACGGTCTTCTGGAGGTTTTGTGCATGGTCTGAAGCAAAGATCACCTTGGCAACGCTCCCTTTCTCCCAAACTCAGGCTTCCATTTCCCGCCCTGCTTTCCCCACTCGCTCTCCAAAGCTGTCCTGGCTCCCGGGGCCCTCGGGCTTTGCTCCGTGGCCGTGGGCACTGTGGGATCTCGGTGCTGGTTTGTTTGCTGAAGGGTTTCACGTGTGGAACTGAGCTCTCCCTGCACTCCTGCCCTCTCCCCTGTCACCCCTGTGCACAGGCATCACTGTGCTGCTGTCCGCCCACTGCCAGGGCCACCCTGCACTTCCCCACACCGCTGCCCTGGGATGCTGGCTCCTGCAGGAGCAGGGAGCTTGGGAAAGAACAAGCCCCAAAATCCCCGAGGGTGGGTTTTGTCTCTTTGGTTCTGTGGTTTTATGTCTCTGTGTTGCCTGTCTCTGCAGCCACTGTGGGCTTGGGAGGCCAAATGGCAAGTCAGGGAACGGGAATGAGCATTCCTGGTACCCGTGGCCCTTCCGTGGGTGATCTGTGTGTGCTGTGCATGAGGCTGGGACAAGGGGGACCTGGTTTTACTGTTTTATATTGACATGTCCTTTTGTAAACATGTTCTTGGAATTATTTTGTACCGATTTACATTTGTCTGAGGACTGTGGATATTTTTATACTAGTGCAAGTGCTCTCTGTACATTTCTGCACGCATTATACTGTGTTTTACTCATTTCCTGGTGGATGCTGAAATGTTTTGTGTTGTCTTCTGTTAACACAACACTGGGCTTGTAAATTTTATGCATTTATTTTTTTTTACTATGGAAATCCAGCCAGTTACTACTGGGTTTTATATTTTTGCCAGCTTTAATAAGCAGCAACAATAGTATTTATTTTCTCACTGCTTCACTGTCCAGGAGGTAGCTCAAGGCTCTTATGTTTGGCACTGACTCCAGTGGGTTTATTTGTGGATCATATCCAGGGCTTGTCTTTGTCACTGCTTACAGTTTGTTTATTTCTGTTAGACTTTCCTCAGGGTTACTTTCCTGTTCCTGTACTCATAACTTGCTCTTGTAACAAACCCCCCTGGAGTGAGTGGTGGAGAAATTACAGGATCACAGAGTAGCTGGGGTTGGAAGGGACCTCTGGAGTTCATGCAGTCCAAGGCAGGGGCAGCTGGAGCAGGTGACACAGGAACACATCCCCAGTGGGTTTGGGATGTCTCCAGGGAGGGAGACTCCACGCTCTCCCTGGGCAGCTGTTCCAGGCTCTGCCACCCTCCGTGGGAAGAAGTTCTTCCTCGTATTGAGGTGGAATCTGTTGAGTTTATGGCAATTGCTGCTGCTCCTCTCCCTGGCACCCCTGAAAAGGGCACTGCAGTCCCATTCTATCCTGTCTTATCCCATCCCATTCTGTCCATCCCCATCCCACCCTCTCCTGTTCCATTCTATCCCGTTCCATCCTGCCTGTCCCCGCATTGGGCAGTGTTGATGCAACCCAGCCCTGCTCCCTCGCATTCTGCCCATTCCCATCCTATATTGTCCATTCCCATCCCCTCCTGTCCCATTCTGCCCATTCCCATCCTATACTGCCCATTCCCATCCCCTCCTGTCCCATTCTATCCATTCCATCCTATACTGTCTGTTCCCATCCTCTCCCATCCCATTCTGCCTATTCCTGTCCCATTCTATCCATTCCCACCCTATACTGCCCATTCCCGTCCCATTCTGTCCATTCCCACCCCATTATGTCCATTCCCACCCCATTCTATCCATTCCCACCCTATTCTGTCCATTCCCACCCCATTCTGTCCATTCCCACCCTATTCTGTCCATTCCCACCCTATTCTGTCCATTCCCGTCCCATTCTGTCCATTCCCACCGCATTCTGTCCATTCCCGTCCCACTCCGCCATGCCCTCCAGTCACATCACATCACATCGGGGCGGTCCCATCCTGGTCCATCCCCTCTCGGGGCGGTCCCATCCCGATCCATCCCCTCTCGGGGCGGTTCCCATCCCCCCTCGGGGCGGTCCCATCCTGGTCCATCCCCTCTCGGGGCGGTCCCTGTGCCGCTCCATCCCCTCTCAGGGCGGTTCCATCCCCCCTCGGGGCGGTCCCATCCCGGTCCATCCCCTCTCGTGTCCGTGTGTCCCGCCCCGCTCCATCCCCTCCGCGCTCGGTGTGTCCCGCCCCGCCGCCGCCGCTTTACGGCCGTCAGTGTCGCGCGGCGCCGCCCGCCCGGAGGTCACCGAGCGGCCCCAGCCCCGCTCAGCCCAGCCCGGCTCGCCCAGCCCGGCTCGCCCAGCCCGGCTCGCCCAGCCCGGCTCACCCGGGCCCAGCCGCAGCATGTGGCGGGTGTTGGCGCGACGCGTGTGCCGGGGCGCGGCCGGGGCGCTGGTTCGGCCCCGCCGGGCTCTCGGTGGCGGTGGCGGCGGGGCCGGCGCTGTCCCGGCCCGGCGCGGCCCGGCCTGGGGCGGCCCCGCGCTCCGCCCGCTCCTGCCGCCCGCGGGCACCCGGCTCGTCCCGGCCCGCCGCTGCAGCCTCCCGGCGCACCAGAAGGTGAGACCGCGGCCCCCGCGTGTCCCCGAGTCCCCCGAAGGACGGGGTCGTGTCCCCCTCCCCGCTGCTCCTTCGCTTTCTCCAGCCGGGTTTTCCATCCCCTGCCTGCGCAGCCCCCACGCGGGCAGAGTCGTGGGGTCATGGAGGCTGGAAGAGAGCTGTAGGATCGTCAAGCCCAGCCATCAGCCCAGCACTCTGTAACTCCCAGGCCACATCGCCCAGTGGCGGATCCGCTCGTCCCCTTGAGCACCCCCAGGATTGGTGACTCCATCATTCCCTGGGCAGCCTTATTCCAGTGCCTGGCCACCCCAAACGGTGAAGGATCTGCGGGTCTGTCCCCACTGCCGTGGGTCTGCCCACCCTGCCTCGAGCCCCTGTGCCACCATCAGCTCCACCGCCTCTGTCCTTTATCCCTGCCCCTCTCCTGGCAGACCCTGACCGAGACGTGGCCCCTTATAACCCTGGATAGAATCGCAGAAGCTTAAGGGGTTGGAAAGGATTTTAAAGATCATGTCATTCCACCTCCCCTGCCCTGGGCAGGGATACCTTCCACTATGCCAGGTTGCTCCAGCCTGGCCTTGGACACTTGCAGGGATGGGGCAGCCACAGCCCGTTCCAGTGTCTCACCTCAGCACCCAGGATGGCTTTGCCCTGAGGTCTTTACCACTTTACCCACTGGGGATTTGCAGCGGGTTTGTGCCTCCCCGTGCCAGGCTGTGCTGAGGGTCCCTCCCTGGGCCGTGTGTGGTCCCTGCCGTGGTGACACTGCCCTGTCCCCCACAGGTGGCCCTGCCAGCGCTGTCCCCCACGATGCAGATGGGCACCATCGCGCGCTGGGAGAAGAAGGAGGGCGACAAGATCAGCGAAGGGGATCTCATAGCAGAGGTATCCTGGGCTGCCTCCTCCTGAGCTGCACGTGTGTCCTGGGTGCTGTCCCAGAGCTGTGTGTGGTGTGTGACCCTGTGGCAGGCTGGGAGGCTCCAAACTCACCAGTTCTGTTGCCATCACCATATTCTGTTCTCTCTCGAAGGTGGAGACAGACAAAGCAACAGTTGGCTTTGAGAGCCTGGAGGAATGCTACTTGGCCAAGATCCTGGTGCCAGAAGGAACAAGGGATGTTCCTATTGGGGCCATAATATGTATCACAGTAGAAAAGTATGTATTTTGGTGACCCTTGAGTTGAACTCTCTCTCTTGGGGCTTCTGGGGTGCCTTGGCTGAAAGGCTTGGGGACCATCAGCTGACCAGGTTTGGGGGGCTCTGTGTTTTCTTCTAGGCCTGAATATGTTGATGCCTTTAAAAACTACACCCTGGATGCTGCAGCAGCTGCTCCCCCTGCAGCCTCAGTGCCTCCCCCTCCAGCTGCAGCTCCCTCCCCACCACCTCAGCCTTCTCCTCAGGCTCCTGGCAGCTCTTACCCTCCTCACATGCAGGTAAGAGAGCACTGCTTCTGGCTTAAGGCTCGTTGCACTCTTTTTCTGTCACTGGCATCACTGCCCATGGGGCATTTTGTCCTATAACCTACCTGGAGTGGGAATTTGTTAACTGTAATTGCAGGAGCGTGTGTGCCACTTCCATAGTTACGTGCTTGAAGCAGGTGTTGGGGGAGATCCCAGGAAGCTTTTTTTCAGGGATTTGTTTTAGCATCCCAGCTACAAGTGAAGGAAAGACTTGTCTCTCCAGGGTTGTTGCCTTGAAAAACCTGCTATGGTTGCATTATTGGGACAGTTCTGGTATAAAAAGCCCTCGTGGGCCCTCTGATGAACCCAGCAGATGGGTTTATGGGTGACTAATAATGAGTTGTGTTTTACCTTGCTTAGATATTGGACTGCACATCCCTTGTTGTCTTTGAGCACTTTGTGGCAGGGGGTTGCTGTGACATCCCTTTGAAAAAGAAACTTTGAAATACCAAACCTCATCCCACAGATAAAACGTCTGGGAACTGATTGTGGGAACTGAGACGTTCCTCAAAGTCAGCAGTTGAAGAATTAAGGAATGGCTTCTTAATCTGTGTTTCAGCTACTAAACTTCCCTCTGCTTGCCTCACCTGCCCAGTTTTGCTCCCCCTGTGTTTGTCACAGCCAAAGTGACTTGCTTCAGCCTTCCTTTTAGCCCTGCAGGGAGCAGCTGCCAGATTGTCCCGGTGGGATGGTGGTAGTGGTTATTTTGATGTGGAGGTTTCTTGCTCTCTGCTCTTGCTTTCTTGCTCAGGCCTTGCTGAGAGAAGCCAAAGCAGCACTGTGGGACAGCACTGTGCTTTGCTGTCACGGAGCCAGATCTAGGAGAGCATTAAAGGCTGGCTGCTTCTTTAGGTTGGCATCATTTATCAGGGGTTGCAACTGTGCTCCTGATCTTTCAGGAGTGCCAGGACCTGATTCTCTTGTGTTCTCTGCCTTCCCAGATCACTCTCCCTGCTCTGTCGCCCACCATGACAATGGGCACAGTGCAGAGGTGGGAGAAGAAGGTTGGGGAGAAGCTGAACGAGGGAGACTTACTGGCCGAAATTGAGACAGATAAAGCCACAATAGGTGAGTCCAAAGCCAAGAAGGGATCCCTTAAAAGGATCCACAGTTCTCTGGCTGCTCAGGGGTTGATGCTGTGGGACAGCTAAAGCAGGTTTTGTTAACTTCTCATTGCACTGGAGAACTAAACATTGGAGCTCCTAAAAACATTTGTATTTCCTCCTCAATCCTTCATGGCAACGTGGGGAGGTTTCCCTACTTGTTGCACTGAAAAGGATTCCCCTACCCCTAAATACAGGACAGGGCTTTAGCTACCAGAGCCTCCAGGAGCAGCATTTGGAGGAACTCCCCAGCTGCATCAGGCACCAAAGCAGGGTTGTTTCTGTCCCTCACAGGCTTTGAAGTGCAGGAGGAAGGCTACTTGGCAAAGATCCTGGTGCCTGAAGGAACAAGAGATGTGCCATTGGGAACTGCTCTCTGCATCATTGTGGAGAAAGAGGCTGATATTCCAGCCTTTGCTGACTACCAGGCTGCTGCAGTGACTGACATGAAGGCAGCAGCTCCTCCTCCTCCTCCTCCTCCTCCTCCACCACCAGTAAGGACCATTCTGGGCACGTGAGACAAGTCATGGGGACCACTCAGAAGCCTGATCTGAACTGTTGTGCTGGTTTGACAGTGTGAAGCCCTGGCTTCAGCAGCAATGCTTCTGATC